TAACCACTAGGTTACCCCAACCACCCTTACAGAATATATGTACCGGTCAGGTCATGTAAAGCATTACCCATTAATCACGAACTCATTAATATGCATGTAGGCATAGTTTCTTCTTCTGTTAGCTTCTCTGAATGTTAAGACATTTTATCATGCAGGTACTGAATCGCCTAAAATGCACAGATCACCACCGCGCCCGCTGCAACAAGGGGACGTAATCTTCAATGGCTTCGTGCATAATGATGACGTGTTGTCTGATGACCAGCGCCTTCAGCGACAGCTCGGCAGTGGCTCCTTCAAGACAAACTCCAGCCTGCCTGATCCAGGGAAGACAGTTGTAGTTCCACTACGGAGAACTGAACAAGTGATTCGACAGGAACGGAAAGGACTACTGCGTAACCGAGGATGTCATGGCTGCGCAATAACTGCGCCATTATTCGTAGGAAAGAAATCAACAGCTATGAATGTTGGCAAAGGCACTGCCAAAGGGTATGAACTGTGGTACAAGATTACCCGAGAAGTACTCGGGGGGTGGTTTATAGGTTTGCGTAATGCAGTACAGTATTATGAAGCTCCCTATCGGTATCGTCGATTAATTCAGGCAGAAAAGCATTTTGAAGCGCCCATTTTCCTGGGTCGGAGAAGGTCTGTTTATCCTTTAAATGGGAAGTAAATAATTGTTGATATGAAATTATATACTGAAATTAAAGGTGAAGAGAAAGGAGACCAGGCCAATTTCCTTCATAATTATACCTTATTATATTATTCTGTACACAGTGGTGATACCATGATATCACGTTTACCTCTGTGACATTAATGATTGACGTTAATAAATATTGCTCGAGTGTGTGAAATAATGAATCGTGGAGTTTTTATATCTTGGTCTCTATTTTGTGTCTGTCTGTCTGTGTGTGGACTGGATAGGCTGTTGATCCTTTGTTTTAAATTATCATATGATGATGTCTACAATAGGATATACATGATTTAATTACACATTGAATGGTACTGGGTATTTTTTTAAAGTAGTGAACTCGATGTGGCAGGAAATCCTGCTGTAAAGCAAGTCTCAGGGCCTTGATTTTCGAAGCTGTCTTAGAGCTAAGATAGTGGTAAGTTCATGTTAATTTATGATACTTACGGCTATCTTAGCACTAAGTGAGCTTCGAAAACTCCTGTAGAGTTGCTGGAAGAACAGGACGTCTTTTAATGATGATCTGCAGCTCCTTCCTGAGCTCCATACGACTGAGGTCTAAGAAGACATCAACGAAATCCCATGCGCTGTCGTCCATCCGCAAGTCATTTCTGTGTCAGGTGGAAGTCTTCTGGTGTCTTCCCGCCGTGTGGTTGACCACCATGCTGCTTGATAACTAGTCAGTTGTATCGATTCTTTGGCCCGTTGTTCACACTTGGCTGACACCACTTGCAATGTGTAAACCAGTTAAGAAACTTTGTGATACTTATCAAGACATTGTATAACCAAAGGTAATTACTGATTAATGTTCTCCATTCAGAAAACAGCGATCCAATATATTCTATTGGTAGTCTCTCTCTCTCTCTCTCTCTCTCTCTCTCTCTCTCTCTCTCTCTCTCTCTCTCTCTCTCTCTCTCTCTCTCTCTCTCTCTCTCTCTCTCTCTCTCTCTCTCTCTCTCTCTCTCTCTCTCTCTCTCTCATGAATACACAATGCTATTTAGAAAGTGGTCAAATGTAACATATGTTATATTTGGGATCACACCTTCTTAGTACAGTACAGATTCTAGTACTTTTGCTCGGTTGAGTCCCATCCGGGATTAATAATAATAATGCCCTAAGCGCTCAGGAATAAAACTAAATACAAAGTCTGGATGAGTTCAGGAACAGAAAACTTGTTGAAACAGAAAGGTCTTTAGTGTTCTACGGGATGATTGAAGAGATGGTGAGTCTTTCACATGTTCTGGGAGGTTGTTCCACTTTACTGCTGCGATGTAGGAAAAGCTTCTCTGTCCATAGCGAGCAGTCTTGGCCTTAGGAACTGTGAGGAGGTTGTGGTTTGAGGATCCGAGTCCTGGAAAGATGGTAAACCTGAATCATGTCACGGTTGGAGCTGGGCCAGAGACGCATTGATAAGTCAAACAGAGGACTTTGAACTTCAGTCTGTATTCCACTGGTAATTAATGTAGGTTCTTCAGAACGGGTATTATGTGATCGTATCTGCGTGTGAGTGAGACAAGACGAGCTATTGTGTTTTGGATTCTCTGAAGTTTAGGTGTGACAGTTTTTGGTGCTTTTCTTTAGCATATATGGGTCAAGAGAGGGTTTCTTCAGCAGTGGTTTTAGTACCGCAGTCTTGAGTGAGTTAGGCATAACTCCAGAAGTCAGGCCGAGATTTACAATACTGGTTATGGCAGGAACCAGGATGTTGGCATGTTCAAGTAGTTCCTTGGTTGGAACGGGGTCAAGCGTACAAGATGTTGGTTTGGCAGTCTTTATGATGTTCATAATCTCATCATGAGAGAGAGGGTTGAACTGACGCTAGGGCTCCCCATCGAACTTATTCCAATTGCTGGTAATGATGTATCTTCTAGCCGATCCCGAATTGATGTAATATTATCTTGAAAGTACTTTGCAAACTCTTCAGCAACTGACTTCAGATCCCCAATATATCTGGAAGCGTGTTTTTCTTCTGTATTCCCATTAGAGAGAATAGGAGCTGGAATAATTTCTTGAAATCTGATTGGTTATCAGTTAGAATATAAATAGTCTTGTTTAGCAGTTCTGACAGCTGCTGTCACAAGGTTTCTGGTTGATGCATACAACTGGCGATAGATTTCCAGCCTTGTCTTTCTCCATTTGCGTTCAGCTTGTCTCCTTTCCCTCTTAGCATCACGCACTTCCTCGATGTAGACCCACGGGGTGGTTGTCCTGCGTGGGATAGTCTTCTCCACTTCCGGTACATGTTTGTCGAGAGTTTCCTGGAGCACTGTATTGTAGGTGTCGACATAACTTTCACAACACTCGTGTGTTACGCTATAGAAGTCTGAGGAAATAAGGCCACACTTAAAGGTTTCTGTATCCAATTATTTCATGTTACATTTGATTGTTCTCATAGGTGGCATCGGCTTAGTTGCATCCAGCGTCAGAATGATCAAAAAATGGACAGATAGTTGCATATCGGTGACTCTTACGTTTTCAACACAAGTTTCACATTCCCGACTGATAACCCAATCATGGATATGTCCGTTCTTGTGAGTAGGAGTCTGAACATGTTGGAGGAGGTTATGAACATGAAGTTGTTTCATCATCCTTGTTGTGTCAGGGTTTGATTGTTGGTCGTAATGAATGTTAAGGTCGCCGACTATGATAAGTGTTCCTTTGCAGATGGAGGCATAATCCAGAAGGTTGGCAAACTTTCTTGAAACATTGCTTGGTAAGGCTGTTTTCTTTGATGGAGGAGGTCTATACAGAAGGATAAACCGAGTTGCTAGGTTTGAGTGTGAGATCAAACGTTCGAGATGTTCGAACGAGTTACATACTGACAACTTGCTTGACACTAGTTTCACCCTCAAGAAATCCTTGTAGATGGCAGCGACCCCACCACCAGGAGAGGTTTGAGGACGGTGCTCGAACGCATATCCGGCTGGTGTCATGCTTGATATCTTGGCTTCGTCTCCAGTCTGACAAAGCCATGTTTCAGTGAGAAGCAGTATATCAAGTTCATGGTCATGAACAGTTTCCAATATGTCATCACACTTGTTTCTGGGTGGTTGAACATTCCATACAGCAAGTGAGAGTGAAGGTGCAATATGCCTTCGAAATTCGAAATGGCGATTAGGCGCCTGATTCTGAGGGTGTGGGTACGAATCCCGGATGGGACTCAACCGAACAAAAGTACTAGAATCTGTACTTTATTGAGAAAGTGTAATCCCAAATATAACATATGCTAAACGAAGACAAGCCAAATCATAACACACGTGTTTATGGCACCTCGACAAAACAATCAGCTTCCATCTTTGCAGTCTATGGCAGCTCGACTTTACTATTTGAAAGCTGGTACTTCAGTACATGTGTTACATAGATTGTTTCCATTAAAAACAACCCGCGCACTTGAAATGACTCAACAAGTCCTTTCATTTCAGGTAATATTTCAACCGATATCTGGATGGTTTAATTTAACAACTCTGGTTCGGATTGACTGATTTTCATTATAGAAAGTGCATTTGATTAGAAAAATATGAGTAAACACTTACCTGAAATACACTTCAAGACTGGTCCGAAACTTCAGCTACATACGGGAAATGCTTTTGATTAAATGACGTATGGTTAAATGCCCGATGTTTTGTCCTCATTTACACATCCCGTATTGAATGAATGAATGAAAGAACGGATGAATGGATGGATGGATTGATGGACGGATGCTGGATTTAATGGATGGTGGATGGATGGATGGGTCAGAAGATTATCAAAACATCATGATTATGTAATTATATTGAACTTCCTTGACATTAGGTAACGGTATACTCGATAGACACACACACACACACACACACACACACACACACACACACACACACACACACACACACACACACACACACACACACACACACACACACACACACACACATTTAGAAGAGCTACTGGCAATATTAGTACCACATTTTATTGAGGATATCCTATAGTTCATACAGAGAATTCTGTGTTTGTAAAATGACATGTTGTTTCATCAATATCGTTGTTATCGGCATGCCATGCTCTTCCATCAGAGTTAAAAAGAATACTTCTCTCTCTCTGCAAGTTCATATCCACAGTTTAGGTTCACATGGTGTTAGTAATCATTAGCAAAGGTATTAGATTTTCTACATTCTTTTGCTGTTTAGTTTCCTGATCCAATCCTTATTGCATACTGCCTCCTATATACAACCCACCAGCTGTTTTACGTGTATATCGATTGGATCAAAGTTCCGTGTATGGTAACGCAGCCCAGTCAATATATAGTTAAATTGTTCTTTTTATCCTGGATGTTTAGGGTGGGGTCGTAAGTATGAGACTGCAGCGTCAACACCACACACATCGGCTCACACGGGGTAAGTCGTCAGATGATGTTTTTTTAATCCGTGGAAGAATGCATTTTCCTACCCAAAATGATTGTCAGGTTGTCGATTTTTCAATACTTTGCAATATACAGTCATTCCAAAGCAAATCTGGTCCTGATATGCGCGGGCGCTGAACGCATGAAATGAGGATCAGGAATAACTACTGTCAGTGTGAACCGGTTATAATATCTACTGTCACTCACTGAAGTCCTTGCCTAGTTCGTGAGTTTAACGCTGGCTTTCAAACAAAGCATATCAGGTTTCATTCCGAATACTCTTTGTTGCATTCCGAGCATACCAGGTTTCATACTGAGCATACCAGGTTTCATACTGAGCATACCAGGTTTCATACTGAACATACCAGGTTTCATACTGAGCATTAGTGTTGGGAATTGGTTAAAATCTAATAATTGATTATTGGTCCATTACAACCGATCAATCATCGAAAATAATTGGTTAGCGTCATTTATCAAATGTTCCTGTTATTTGTGTTAATGCACACAAAAATAAAGAAAAAAAAGTCCATTTGCAAATTTTGCATATTTAAATGATGATTAGTATGTTAGGAACATATTTCCTGGATTCTTTAAGATAAATTCAATGATGACTTGGAACGAGCTTGTACATGTAGTGCTTATGAAATGTAAATTTAATGACACAGACAAAGCCAGCCTTGTGAAAAATATTGTTAATGCAAACAAGTGTTCAAAGATTGGTCGTGTTCGATTATGAGAAAACATGTTCGATTGCTTGGTCGTTTAGTCACTGCGACCAATTTTCGATAATTTCAATTAATCGGACCGCCACTACTGAGCATACCAGGTTTCATACTGAGCATACCAGGTTTCACCCTGAACATACCAGATTTCACCCTGAACATACCAGGTTGCACACTGAACATACCAAGTTGCATACTGAGGATACATGTTTCATACTGAACATACCAGGTTGCATACTGAGCATACATGTTTCATACTGAACATACCAGGTTGCATACTGAACATACAGGTTGCATACTGAACATACCAGGTTGCATACTGAGCATACATGTATCATACTGAGCATACCAGGTTTCATACTGAGCATACCAGGTTTCACCCTGAACATACCACGTTTCACCCTGAACATACAGGTTTCATACTGAACATACCAGGTTGCATACTGAGGATACATGTTTCATACTGAGCATACCAGACTTCATACTGAACATACAGGTTTCATACTGAACATACCAGGTTTCATACTGAGCATACCAGGTTTCACCCTGAATATACCAGGTTTCATACTGAACATACCAGGTTTCCTCATGAACATACAGGTTTCATACTGAACATACCAGGTTGCATAATGAGCATACATGTTTCATACTGAACATACAGGTTTCATACTGAACATACCAGGTTTCACACTGAACATACCAGGTTTCACCCTGAATATACCAGGTTTCATACTGAACATACCAGGTTTCCTCATGAACATACAGGTTTCATACTGAACATACCAGGTTGCATACTGAGCATACATGTTTCATACTGAACATACCTGGTTGCATACTGAACATACAGGCTGCATACTGAACATACCAGGTTGCATACTGACGATACATGTTTCATACTGAACATACCAGGTTGCATACTGTCCATACAGGTTTCATACTAAACATACCAGCTTGCATACTGAGCATACATGTTTCATACTGAGCATACCAGTTTTCATTCTGAACATACAGGTTTCATACTGAACATACCAGGTTTCATACTGAGCATACCAGGTTTCACCCTGAATATACCAGGTTTCACCCTGAACATACCAGCTTTCACCCTGAACATACAGGTTTCATACTGAACATACAAGGTTGAATACTGAGGATACCAGGTTTCATACTGAACATACAGGTTTCATACTGAACATACCAGGTTGCATACTGAGCATACCAGCTTTCACCCTGAACATACCAGGTATCACCCTGAACATACAGGTTTCATACTGAACATACCAGGTTGCATACTGAGCATACATGTTTCATACTGAACATACCAGGTTGCATACTGAACATACCAGGTTTCATACTGAACATACCAGGTTGCATACTGAACATACCAGGTTGCATACTGAGCATACATGTTTCATACTGAACATACCAGGTTGCATACTGAACATACCAGGTTGCATACTGAACATACCAGGTTGCATACTGAACATACCAGGTTTCATACTGAACATACAGGTTTCATACTGAACATACTAGGTTTCATACTGAACATACCAGGTTTCATACTGAGCATTAGTGTTGGGAATTGGTTAAAATCTAATAATTGATGATTGGTCCATTACAACCGATCAATCATCGAAAATAACTGGTTAGCGGCATTTATCAAATGTTCCTGTTATTTGTGTTAATGCACACCAAAACATGTAGTCATACTTGTTTGCAAATTGCATAAAGTCCATTTGCAAATTTTGCATATTTAAATGATGATTAGTATGTTAGGAACACATATTTCCTATGCATATAGTCACTGCGACCAATCTTCGATTATTTCAATTAATCGGACCGCCACTACTCAGAATACCAGATTTCATACTGAACATACAGGTTGCATACTGAACATACCAGGTTTCACCCTGAACATACCAGGTTTCACCCTGAACATACCAGGTTGCATACTGAGCATACATGTTTCATACTGAGCATACCAGCTTTCATACTGAGCATACATGTTTCATACTGAGCATACCAGGTTTCATACTGAACATACAGGTTTCATACTGAACATACAGGTTTCATACTGAACATACAGGTTTCATACTGAACATACATGTTTCAAACTGAACATACCAGGTTGCATACTGAACATACCAGGTTTGATACTGAGCATTAGTGTTGGTAATTGGTTAAAATCTAATAATTGATGATTGATCCAATACAACCGATCAATCATCGAAAATAATTGGTTAGCGGCATTTATCAAATGTTCCTGTTATTTGTGTTAATTTCACACAAAGCATAAAGAAAAACCATGTAGTAATTAGGGTTGTTTGCAAATTGCATAAAGTCCACTTGCAAATTTTGCATATTTAAATGATGATTAGCATACCAGCTTTCATACTGAACATACAGGTTTCATACTGAACATACCAGGTTGCATACTGAGCATACATGTTGCATACTGAGCATACCAGCTTTCATACTGAACATACAGGTTTCATAATGAACATACCAGGTTGCATACTGAGCATACCAGGTTTCAACCTGAACATACCAGGTTTCACCCTAAACATATCAGGTTTCACCCTGAACATACAGGTTTCACCCTGAACATACAGGTTTCATACTGAACATAGAGGTTTCATACTGAACATACCAGGTTGCATACTGAACATACAAGGTTTCATACTGAACATACAGGTTTCATACTGAACATACTAGGTTTCATACTGAACATACCAGGTTTCATACTGAGCATTAGTGTTGGGAATTGGTTAAAATCTAATAATTGATGATTGGTCCATCACAACCGATCAATCATCGAAAATAACTGGTTAGTGGCATTTATCAAATGTTCCTGTTATTTGTGTTAATGCACACAAAAATAAAGAAAAAACATGTAGTAATTAGGGTTGTTTGCAAATTGCATAAAGTCCATTTGCAAATTTTGCATATTTAAATGATGATTAGTATGTTAGGAACACATATTTCCTATGCATATAGTCACTGCAACCAATCTTCGATTTTTTCAATTAATCGGACCGCCACTACTCAGAATACCAGATTTCATACTGAACATACAGGTTGCATACTGAACATACCAGGTTTCACCCTGAACATACCAGGTTTCATACTGAGCATACATGTTTCATACTGAACATACCAGGTTTCATACTGAACATATCAGGTTTCACCCTGAACATACAGGTTTCATACTGAACATACAGGTTTCATACTGAACATACAGGTTTCATACTGAACATACCAGGTTGCATACTGAACATACCAGGTTGCATACTGAACATACAGGTTTCATACTGAACATACCAGGTTGCATACTGAGCATACCAGGTTTCACACTGAACATACCAGGTTTCATACTGAACATACCAGGTTTCACCCTGAACATACAGGTTTCATACTGAACATACAGGTTTTATACTGAACATACAGGTTGCAAACTGAACATACCAGGTTTCACCCTGAACATACCAGGTATCACCCTGAACATACAGGTTTCATACTGAACATACCAGGTTGCATACTGAGCATACATGTTTCATACTGAACATACCAGGTTTCATACTGAACATATCAGGTTTCACCCTGAACATACAGGTTTCATACTGAACATACAGGTTTCATACTGAACATACAGGTTTCATACTGAACATACCAGGTTGCATACTGAACATACCAGGTTTCATACTGAACATACCAGGTTTCATACTGAACATACCCATAGGTTGCCAGGTTTCATACTGAGCATACCAGGTTTCACATACTGAACATACCAGGTTTCACCCTGAACATATCAGGTTTCACCCTGAACATACAGGTTTCATACTGAACATACAGGTTTCATACTGAACATACAGGTTTCATACTGAACATACCAGGTTGCATACTGAACATACCAGGTTTCATACTGAACATACAGGTTTCATACTGAACATACTAGGTTTCATACTGAACATACCAGGTTTCATACTGAGCATACCAGGTTAGTGTTGGGATGCCAGGTTTCATACTGAGCATACCAGGTTGGTCCATCTGAACATATCAGTCATCATAAATAACTGGTTAGCGGCATTTATCAAATGCATCCAGGTTCATTTGAGCATACCAGGTTTCACTGAACATACCAGGTTTCACATGTGAGCATACCAGGTTTCATGCAACCATTGCATAAAGCATCCATTTTGCAAACTTTGCATACCAGGTTTCAACTGCATACCATGTTTCATACTGAAGCAACCAGGTTTCATACTGAACATAGTCAGGTTTCATACCAATTCGATTATTTCATACTGTCACCAGGCCACATACTGAGCATACCAGGTTTCATACTGAACATACCAGGTTGCAAACTGAACATACCAGGTTTCACCCTGAACATACCAGGTATCACCCTGAACATACAGGTTTCATACTGAACATACCAGGTTGCATACTGAGCATACATGTTTCATACTGAACATACCAGGTTTCATACTGAACATATCAGGTTTCACCCTGAACATACAGGTTTCATACTGAACATACAGGTTTCATACTGAACATACAGGTTTCATACTGAACATACCAGGTTGCATACTGAACATACCAGGTTTCATACTGAACATACAGGTTTCATACTGAACATACCAGGTTGCATACTGAGCATACCAGGTTTCATACTGAACATACCAGGTTTCACCCTGAACATATCAGGTTTCACCCTGAACATACAGGTTTCATACTGAACATACAGGTTTCATACTGAACATACAGGTTTCATACTGAACATACCAGGTTTCATACTGAGCATTAGTGTTTCATTGGTTAAAATCTAATAATTGATGATTGGTCCACTGAACCGATCAATCATCGAAAATAATAACTGTTAGCGGCATTTATCAAATGTTCCTGAACATGTGTTAATGCACACTGAAAATAAAGAAAAAACACTGAGTATACCAGGTTTCACCCAAATTGCATAAAGTCCATTTGCAACTTTTGCATATTTAACCTGATGATTAGTATGTTAGGAACTGAACATATATTTCCTATGCATATAGGTTTCATACTGAACATAGCCGGGTTCACTGCGACCAATCTTCGATTATTTCAATTAATCGGACCACTACTGAGAATACCAGGTTTCATACTGAACATACCAGGTTGCATACTGAACATACCAGGTTTCACCCTGAACATACCAGGTTGCATACTGAACATACCAGGTTTCATACTGAGCATACCAGGTTTCATACTGAGCATACCAGGTTTCACACTGAACATACCAGGTTTCATACTGAACATACCAGGTTTCATACTGAACATACAGGTTTCATACTGAGCATACCAGGTTTCATACTGAGCATACTAGGTTTCACCCTGAACATACCAGGTTGCATACTGAACATACCAGGTTCCATTCTGCGCATAAATGTTTCATTCTGAGCATACATGTTTCATACTCAGTATACAGGTTTCATACTGACCATACCAAGTTTCACCCTGAACATACCAAGTTGGTTAGCATCATTTATTTCATTCCTGAGCATACCAGTGTTAATGCACTGAGCATAAAATCACTGAGCATAAACATGTACACTGAGCATACCAGGTTTCATTCTGAACATACCAGGTTGCATACCGAGCATAAAAGGTTTCATTCTGAGCATACATGTTTCATACTGAGCATACAGGTTTCATACTGAGCATACCAGGTTTCACACTGAACATACCAGGTTGCATACTGAACATACCAGGTTTCATACTCAGCATACCAGGTTTCATACTGAACATACCAGGTTGCATACTCAACTTACCAGGTTGCATACTGAGCATACCAGGTTTCATACTAAGCATGCCAGGTTTCATACTGAGCATACCAGGTTTCACCCTGAACATACCAGGTTTCATACTGAGCATACCAGGTTTCATACTGAGCATACAGGTTTCATACTGAGCATACCAGGTTTCATACTGAGCATACCAGGTTTCATACTGAACATACCAGGTTTCATACTGAGCATACCAGGTTTCATACTGAACATACCAGGTTTCATACTGAACATACCAGGTTTCATACTGAGCATACCAGGTTTCATACTGAGCATGCCAGGTTTCATATTGAACTTGCCAGGTTTCACCATGAACATACCAGGCTTCATACTGAGCATACCAGGTTTCATACTGAGCATACCAGGTTCCATTCTGAGCATACATGTTTCATACTGAGCATACCAGGTTTCATACTGAGCATACAGGTTTCATACTGAGCATACCAGGTTTCATACTGAGCATCCCAGGTTTCATACTGAGCATACCAGGTTTCATACTGAGCATACCACGTTTCATACTGAACATGCCAGGTTTCATACTGAGGATACCAGGTTTCATACTGAACATACCAGGTTTCATACTGAGCATGCCAGGTTTCATATTGAACATGCCAGGTTTCACCATGAACATACCAGGTTTCATACTGAGCATACCAGGTTTCATACTGAGCATACCAGGTTTCATACTGAGCATACATGTTTCATACTGAGCATACCAGGTTTCATACTGAGCATACCAGGTTTCATAATGACCATACCAGGTTTCATACTGACCATACCAGGTTTCATACTGAGCATACCAGGTTTCATACTGAACATACCAGGTTCCATACTGAGCATACAGGTTTCATACTGAGGATACCAGGTTTCATGACTGACCATACCAGGTTTCATATCGAGCATACCAGGTTTCGTCACTGATCATGTTCCTGGTTTCTGTTATTGAACATAAAGCCATGTAGTTTCACCCTGAACATACCAGGTTTCATACTGAGCATACCAGATTTCATACTGAGCATACCAGGTTTCACCCTGAACAAACCAGATTTCAACCTGAACATACCAGGTTTCATACTGAGCATGCCAGGTTTCACCCTGAACATACCAGGTTGCATACTGAAGATACCAGGTTGCATACTGAACATACCAGGTTTCATACTGAGCATACCAGGTTTCACCCTGAACATACCTGGTTGCATACTGAACATACCAGGTTTCATACTGAACATAGCAGGTTTGAATCGGTGGTTTCATCTTCACCCTGAACATACCAGGTTTCACCCTGAACATACCAGGTTTCATACTGAACATACCAGGTTTCATACTGAACATACCAGGTTTCATACTGAACATACCAGGTTGCATACTGAACATACCAGGTTTCATACTGAGCATACCAGGTTTCATACTGAGCATGCCAGGTTTCATACTGAGCATACCAGGTTTCACCCTGAACATACCAGGTTGCATACTGAACATACCAGGCTTAATACAAAGTACTCCGTGTTGTATATCGAGCATACCATACTTCATACCAAGTATTTTGAGTTTCATACCAAACATAACAGGTTTTATAGCGAGTATTCTCAGCTTCACACCGATTATGTCAGGTTTAATACTGAACATACCGGGTTTCATACCGAAAATACCAGGATACGAGGAGTCATACAATGATTCGTACCGAGCCTACCCGGGTTCATACCAAGCATCTATGGGGGGGGGGGTCATACCACACAGTTGATTTATTTTCACATTTGGTCCAACCAGGCTGTTTCGAACATAATAACTTATATACGTCTGTGGTGAAAGTAGACTTACGTCACTTCCTTTCCCAAATGAAGTCCTGCATGATGTTAATGGCCACTTAGACGTCAGGCATGAAGGTTACGGAAGTCGCTTCTCTCATATTCAAGTTACAAAGATACAATTCTGATTTTTGTTTCTTTTGCAGCCAAGAAAACACTATGTGTGTTATTTGTGTTGTCCCAGGTATTTGTAATGTACATGTTTTGGAAGTGGTCCAAGGTCAAGTTGGTGCAGTATTGTCAACCTCAAGCGCAGACCCGACTGGGCGTTGTCTCACAAGCGTACGTATCAAGTTCTCGATCAATTAACACTAGATTTTCCTATATTTCATTAAACAACACAATAAACACGTGTTACCAGTAACCAGCCATTCGGAAAAAGGTTTTGATCAATATCCATTACGTTTTGTCCTCTAAGGCGTTCAACATAACCAAAGAAGCCATGTTAATGCTCCAGTACAACGCCCTATTATGTTGCCATTCATTCTTTATTTCCTATGGATGTTATTATTTCAGGACATAATAATCATGTTGCTATATTTTTGGCTATCCTTTAAATCGCGTTCACTTTGTAGGTACTTACTTTGCTGAAAATGATCACTTAACGTATGCCTGTTATTCAGCCAATCAAGGGACAGATGGATAATTACGTCATTCTACACAGGAAGTGACGTCATTGACATCCCTGGATGGACGGTATTGTTCTTTGGTGTGACTGATGCAAGTGTCTTCTGCAGGTATTTTCTTCTAAAAATGTTTGTTTGCTAAATGATGTATATTTTAGTACAGTAACCGACTGTGGTTGACCGGAAGTATATTTGCCGAAGTCCTTGGTTCGATTCCCCGCATTGATGCAATGTCTGAAGCCCATTTCTGGTGTCCCCTGTCGTGATAATGCTAAAATATTGGTAAATTCACACACTCAGTCACTCCATGCATTTTGAGTTTTCTTATAGCGTTTTCGAAAAGATAAGCATCCGTTTTGTTTCAAGCTGAACTTAATTTGGTAAGAAAGATCATAATAAACATGACTCGCCCGTAATAAATCAAGCAATTCACATTTTTTCTCTGTCAACAGATTTTCTGACTGCGTCATTTTGAATTCAGTTGAAGATGAAAAACTAACACAGGATGAAAATGACAAATGGCTGCCAAAGAAAACACGTGCGTATCTTCACGCGATCTCCCACGGGGCAAAGGTCATATGTGTGGCCCGCCATCTAGATACAGGAACCATACAGCTGATACGGAGGATGACAGACAACATGCCTGAATCCGGAATGATGCTGATGTCAAATAAAACGTTTATTCGCCCGCATGAAATATTCAACAACGTAAAAATAGCAGCAACGAAATACTATAATGATTTCTTCATAGAGAAACGTCTAAGTGCATTAATCCTGTCTTCGTTCAGTCCTTCACAAGGGGAGACAACTCAGGGAAAACAGTCGAGAGACCACGATTTGTATCCACCTGTGTTTCTACCGATAAACACGTATACTTCCCTAAGTACCCATGTAAACGTCTTCCGGTATGATGCATTCTGGGCACTCTTTCTGAGAGACACCGGAAATGGAGACATGATTATTCAACGTTTATTGTGGGAAATCACAGGCCATATTGGAATATATCCAAGTAGCACTTCAGAACGGACAGGCACCACCATCAACAAACCAGTGAATGTTCCACCTGCACTCTTGTCTTGGAAGTGCATTCCTGGTTTGAAGATCTTAGAATGTTTGGAAAATGTTATGACTACAATGGCAGAAGAGCTACAAGTCACCGTGCAGGATCTATATTTGATCAACAAATGGATTTCAGAATTGAAATCAATTAAATATAGGCCACCACAGAGAGACGGACGGGCAGCACAACCACTGAAGAAAGCAGCACTCGGCATTGCTGGTACACAACTGGACAGGACATCAGTGAACAGCCAATCCCGTAAACAGTTGCAACAACTGTGCCCCACATCTGTGATAAGGTTTCCCAAACAGGTTATCGATGACATAGCCTTGATAATTACATTCAATGTAGGTAAATTCTATTCCAACATCAACATACTTGAAGCCATGTATCGCCCGTACTTCGCCACTATAATTTACTGCGGACCAAACCTGACGAAGTTCAAGAAACATATCCGTGTTCTCACAACTCCATACTTCATTTTCATAGAGGCATTTAAAAGAGGTTGGTACTTTATGTTTGAGTGCACTGTTGAGGCCATGAAGCTTAATATTGGTGTCAAGGGATTCCTACAGATTGGGGACGACACACTGATTAACCCTTGGAACATTAACACACAACCCCGGGATAAGATCTGGCTGCACACAGGTTTCAACATGGCAAATGCTTCTCTTGAAGAACTTGTGCCGCGGTGGGGCTTTTGGAAATACAAACCAAATATGTTGGCTGTCATAGACGAAATTAAGAACATGTCCGAATTTAAGCCCAAATCATCATTTGAATCACGATTTCTCTTGAATTATCGCAATAATTCACAAAATTTTACATATTTTTTTATTCAAAGCGCAGATTTTATGTATATGCCAATGGCTTTCAAGCATAACTACACTATTATGGCTAATTTATTGTTGAAACATACTGTGATGGTAGAAATTGGGTTTGTCAATGTAGCTTTTGGGCTTCAAATGTGGGAAAATATTCATTTTGTGAAAAACGGTAGTTTATATGGTCTGCGTAGTAAGTATAGATCCTTTTACAGCGTCCATGATCTTTACCTTCACCCCTTCAAACTGCAGCGTCACCTGGCCAGGCAGTCGGGCAGGCACTTCTTTTGCGAAATATATCTCAATGACACGTTCAGAATTTAGTCAATATGATTATAAAGATTTTGCCCATTTACTGATGGATTTGCTTATTTCATGTTAAACGTCGCACCTTTAGAGTTGAGATGATCGATGATTATTATATCAGTCACCGGATTGCTTGGTCCAGATTCGATAAATTACTGTCCGACGTTATTTACCTGGAATATTGCTCGGTAGGGCTCTCACGATTCCAAAATTTGGGACTCGAGTACTCGAGGTGTCAGACCCGACTCGGACCCGAGTACACGACAATTTGGATGCTTATCTGAAACCAACATTCAAGCATACACGTAGCTGTTCCAACTTCCAATCTACGAATAATGCAACATGTATATGTGAATCCAAACGTTCCTGAATAAAGCAATTGATATTCAATGCCAATGGAAGTATCTATTACCTTATTTGCAAACAGAATGTGAAGGCAACGTAAGTGTCACTGTGACCCAGTTCTACGGGATCAATTATGTGATTAATATTCATGAGCTGGGCCGGTGATCCCTTATTACGCCTGTAAATGCTGCAATATGATTTGATGTGTCCGGGAAAAGAAACCAATCAATCTACTTCTCTTTTCTTTTGGTTTTAAGTTTGACTGCGCTTTCAAGATTATCTAATATTAATATGTCGTTGCAGTTATGACATATTAGCAACTTTTAAACATTCACCTGGACGATAAGTCACATAATCAATTAACCTTCATCACGGTTAAAATGCGGCAAAACACGTTCCAAAGCTGGAAGATACATAGATAAAGCATTCATTGATTGGTGCTGCATTAGATACTAGTATCTTGTAAAGATGGATCGACTATGGAACTTAAAGAATATGTAAAACAGGATTGATGTTTATTTGAGACTTTTTATAGTGAAAACGGTTTGGTTTCAAACTAAAGACTAACCATTTATTGAGTAACACTACGCTGTATTTCTTCTTCCGAAACTCTGCTGAACGGAGATCACGTCAATGGTATTCATTGTGATTAAAATTTTCACTATTAAGGATATAGGTCTCCAAGTGTGAATGTTATTTTGAATGCGTATGTATGTGTTGATTGTTGAATATGTAACACTGAAATACGCTGGATAAGAACGACTGAATATCTATGTAGAAAACAAGTTGTTCAAACATAGGTATAGTGGGCAGGGACAGTGATACAGCCGTGAGCGGTTACGCTTGTCCACGCGTCCGTAGTTAGGGCCACGGCAGGTACAGTTTTTGGTACTGATATTTTGTTCTCCTTGCAAACTTCATACGACTTTATGAGGTAGTTGTGAATTGTCGCAGTGCATGGGACCTGGTAATTTGGGTTCAATGGTTCACAGAAAGCCCTGAAACCCTCCCCTTTAACAAGACTTAATGGTCGCATATCCTTAACGCGCATAAGCATTGCTTTTTGCGTAATACCTTCATACCATTTCCTGTCAACAGGCTTGCGACTTTTGCTATCAAACTTACCAAACTGCCCCAGCGTTGCTTGTTGAGCTGGTTTTCTGTCTACAGTGCTTATTGTGGGTGCTTACAGGACAAATGCTTGCGTAACTAAGGGAAACGCCACAAAGACGGCATTTCGTATTTTTGCCACTAAATCAAGATAAAAATGCGTCCAGACATTGGATTTTTTCTCACGATCATCCATCTTGATTGCATGAGATGTTTAGAGGTATCTCCCCTGCGAGTCCTTCAGTCCATTCAATTGGACTCGAGTCCTGCTTTATCCGACTCGGCCCCGAGTACCCGAGTACTCGTGAGAGCCCTATTGCTCGGCGGCGTTAACAGCAATCCGAGTAACGAACTATGTTGTAATACAACTAATCAAATTTAGGTTGGGTTAGAGTTAGAAAGTTTCAACGGAGCGGGCTTGTAGTGTGTTTGTACATCCATACTGAGGATGCCCACAATTCCCCAGAACTGTGTTGCCTAATTTGAATTTTTCAATAAAGATAGGGCCATGAACGGTGGCAGATTCGAATACACACACGTGCGTTTGTTTACATAACGGCAGTCATGTTTCCGATTTCTCTGACAATCTTTCGGGCTTGATTTGGAGATTTTACGTAAGCTCTCCGACAGTTTTAGGTAAAGTGAGGTAAGGTGAAATTAAGTTTAACGTCGTGCTTGAGAATATTTCGCTCATATGATGACGTGCATGCGTGTGTATGTGTATGTGCGGCTGCTTGTACTAGACCAGGCGGGCGGACGCTCTAACCACTACACCACGGAGGCGGTCTTTAGGTAAAGTGAGTGAGTGAGTGAGTGAGTATTGATTTACGCCGTTTTTAGCAATATCCCAGCAATATCATGGCGAGGGACACCAGAAATGGGCTTCACACATTGTACCCATGGGGGGAGTCGAACCCGGGTCTTCGGCGTGACGAACGAACGCGTTAACCACTAGGCTACCCCACTGCCCTTTAAGTAAAGTGGGGTGAATGAGTTTAGTTTTACGCCGCTTTAAGCACTATTCCATCAGATGGGCTTCACACATTTACCCGTGTGGGGAATCGAACCCGGGTCTTCGGCGTGACGAGCGAACATTTTAACCACTAGGCTACCCCACCGCCCTTTAGGTAAAGATAAATAGCTACGGGTTTCCAAACAATGCATTTATATATAACTCATCCAATTTAATCTTAAAAACAATGTTTACTATAACATGCCATTCAGTGAGTGAGTGAGTTTAGTTTTACGCCGCAGTCTGGAGGCTGTTTTTGTATATGTGAAGCTTTCTTGAGTCTGGGAACAGGCAAACAAACATATACCTTCAGTTTCAGCCTCAGGACTGGCCACAGAGCGAACAGCTCAAATGCGAACACTATGGTCGTGTTCAGACGAGAAGCCAGGCACACAGATGCAAACGTTGCTGCGCTTAGAGACAGGGTACCCGACACACTAAAACATCAGCATAGTTCCTGACTGTATATCATGCACTTAAACCAGCTTCATGTTGAAGAAACTGAATGGACAATTTCCTTTTGACCATAGATGTGATATTTTGTGTAGATCAATATCTTTGTGAGTGAGTGAGTTTAGTTTTACCCTGCACTCAGCAATATTCCAGCTATATGGCGGGGGTCTGTAAATAATCGAGTCTAGACCAGAAAATCCAGTGATCAACATCATGAGCATCGATCTGCGCAATTGGGAACCGATGACATGTGTCAACAAAGCCAGCGAGCCTGACCACCCGATCCCGTTAGTCGGCTCTTACGACAAGCATGGGTTACTGAAAGTTCATTCTAACCCGGACCTTCACGGGTACATGCCATTCAGTCCTTCTGACACTGCAGGCAGGTGAACAACAAGTACCACCTTTTAACGTATTTTTGATGTGAAGAGGACAGGATATCGAATCATAGACCTTTCTCGGTCAGTCTAGGTAAACTTAGTCTCAGTACTATTCGTTACACTCCTCTACTGAGTCTAACAAACCCTAGTAGGAGGTCGCGTCAGGTAATCTTTGAGATTGACCAATCAGAACACAGCTTACCAAATCGCGAAAGTGGACATTCGCACATACCTTTTGAATCTTTACCTCGAAAAGGTTTGTACCCGAACGATTCCGAATGCTATTTTCCGTACGATCGCTTCCGGGTGATGCACATGAGGCACGCTACCACACTGTCAAGAGTGAGTAAACAGTCGCTGAAAATAGCGTTTTTGTCAATATTCAAGGATGTCAGCTTGCGGAAATATTAGCTAATGGTAACCATGTCATCAGAAAGCCTTAAGCGTATGTACTGCAGGTCAATTATCTGTGTTTTATGCAGATTTTCGTTTGTTGAGAGATCAGTGTCAATGACTGGGGAATTTTGTAAGTCCCGCCGAACCCTAATCAGTAGCCGTTGTCTGATTGGTTAAATCCGTTCGGCCGTCTCGCGTTTGATTGGACGGTCATAGGTCGCTCAAAGGTTAGCTGACGCGACCTACCACAAGGTTTTGTTAGACTCAGTATAGCAGTGTAACGAATAATACTGAGACTAAGTTTACTTAGACTGTTTCTCGGTCTGAGCATAATGTTTAGTCACTTGCCCACGGAGACATCAAGATGAGTCTTCACTCACTTATTACACAAATGTCTTCCTAGGCCTATTTGTACGACATACAATTCAAATACTTACACGAACAGCCCTGGACAGAAAGCAAGCTCAATGGTGAAATGGGTACTTACAAGACGGTTAGACATGTAGCGCTTGCAAGCACTGAGATCTGATTTTAAAGAGATTGAGACAAGTAAAAAAAAAATCCAGATTGAGATTTTACGTCCGATTCATTTTTATGCCAAGGGACGCAACTCTTTCATCGTCAGTATCGCAGACCACACGTTATAAGCCCTTAACCCACTGACAAGTTCAAACCTGAGTGTTGTGTCGTATGTCAATTGCTCACTGAAAACAAGCCGATCTGTCATGCGCAGACGGTCACTACCGTTGCTAGCTCATTGAGACAAACACTGTCAGTTGTGACGGCCACACCGGACGGACGAGGTCAGTCTTTAGTCTTTGTTTGTGGAGAAATGCTACACTTTCATACGACACGGAACTGTTTAGGTAGAGGGAAATGAACGGCGAGTGCGATTTAACAGCCATCTCAAGAGTTGCCGAGTAACTTAAAGAGCTATAGAGCGTTAGAGCTTATGTAAACTTTTTTTACTGTTATTACTAGTTATAAAGTCAGTATATTATCTATCCGTGGTGCTATAAAGAATCAGTTTACCAAAAGACGTTAATCATGTTTTTGTCACTTGACAGATGGTCGGTAGGAGAGACAGGATATGTGTTGGGTTATTTTCATGACAGAAATGAAGTGTCTGTTTATGGGGAGAGATGTTTCGGTCTACATTACGACTTTGACAGATCAAAAAATTATGTATTTTTCTGACAGAAATCTGATGTGTTTATTGAACATTACTTTTTTAAAAAGCTTTCTTACCTCAAGGTTCAAAGGTCCCTCAAGGTTCAAAGTACTGGCACTACTGGTTAATGCAGTCAAAATTAAAGGATAATTTGAGAATATCTTTGTCAACTAGAGAGAAAATGGAAAATAATAACTATTGTTCTTCCTTCAGGGGTGTATATGGCTTTTTATGGATTTTTTCATGGCTTGTTTGAAATGTATTTGGATGTCAGACATTAACTTGCTGCCCAAATAATTAACATAAATTTTAATAGTACTGATCGCGGCGTGAAATAGAATTCATTCCCCAAATTACTGTCATTGAAGCGCCGCAATGAAAATGAAAATGTTATTAGATACATCTTTCTGTGTAATGTTTACACGTACATGTCTAATATTCACGAGCTGTCTAGGCTGTGTTAATATAATTCATATAGCAAATCTTTCCCGACCGCTCCCTCAATAGTGCGTTGTACCACCCGGGGTAGATCTAATTACATTGATAAGATGATCGACAATGTTTGTTTGCTAGATGTCGATAAGCCCATATTCCCTGATGACCTAGAAGGTGCTGGTGTATTGTTAGAGATTAGCTGTAGCAGTGAGACAATTGGTCGGGAACGAAGACAAACTAGACGTTTGGTTGGGTTGCCACAGTCGTCACTGTATTGCGTACCCCGGCGATGCATCACAACTACATGTATACGAATGTGGGGATACGATGAGGTTCTGACTTGCATGGTGACGTGCTTGCAGAGAGGGAACCATATTATTCTACAATTAGGACCATTCTAGCTTTTAGGTCACAACAGTCCAGCTCTAGACTAACAACTAGTCTCTGAAATGAACATATTTTACTGAAAAAATTTCATAGTAAAAAAAATATATATATAATGAAAAGGAGCCCTGAGACTTTCTTCATTTTCAGAGACCCTCAAGCTGAGGAAATCTAGACTTGCCACATTTTCTAGACTTGCGTGGGCTTTCTTGGATATATTTGCTTCAGGGTCTGTACGACAGACTAGTCCAGCTCGTACACTTGGTGTTTTTGGTTGTTGTTGTTGTTGTTTTGGGTTTTGTTTTGTTTTGTTGGGTGTTTTGGGTTGGATTTTGTTATTGTATGTTTGTTGTATTTTGTTGTTGTATTTTGTGTGTTTGTGTGTGTGTGTTTTGGGTGTGTGTGTGTGTTGTGGGCGGGGGTGGGGGCAATCAGTTGAAATACGATCTGTTATAGCTGGAGATGGACAGAGAAAAGATGTGGATGGCTAAAGGAATACACTTTTACGCCGCTTATAGTGATAGATACAGACAAGAAAACAAAATAGAGTAAGGTCGATGGATAGATAGAGCCAGGTAGATGGATAGAGACAGATAGATGGATAAAGAGACAGAGAATGATACCTGATAAATCAGATCAATGGACTGGCAGATTTATAGAGATAGGCAGGCCTATAGACATGGAAGGAAATCCCGTTATTCAGATATTACTACTTTTGATGAATCACTTGAAACACTCTATTTCATATACGATCTACTGCTACATAACAAGAACAAATCTAGGATTCGAACCCAAGACCATAGGTTTCAGGCACACACAAGAGAGTCTACAATATACTGCGAATGGCGGCGCCTAAAACGATTGAGCCAGCCCGCCCACTAATTTGATCTAACAGATATGGATGTCGGATACTTGTCAAACACCACAGAATGTGTTAATATCAGTATTGACTGCAATACCGACACGTGTATATAGCTGTCAATCTCGACACAGTGTGAGTTAACAGCAAAATATATTACTATATTATCAGCTACCGGCACTCGGATTTCCATCAATGGTTTTCTATTGCGGTCGAGTGCTGTTTCAATCCACTACATAGAAGGACATAAACGAGCACTCAAACAGGAATTACCCATGGGTATAGATTTTCCACCCCACAGACGGGTCGTTTATTGATTACAGCCGTCACAGTTGTAGATATTAGCTACGAGTGTTTGACGTGGTTTAAGCGGGGTGTCTATTGCCAACCGACTCTATTAATTTAACCATATTGACTCAGGCTCTTTGAGACCTTCTTATATGTCTTGCAGTTCATTATGGAAGCGTGACTGACAGTGTGCGAAATATCCACTGGCCCGCTAGCCCGTGGCTAGTAATAATTCAGTCGAGCCAGTAAATATCCACAGTCACCGGCCCGACTGACTAGTGAATTTTCAAGGGGTTATTTAGAAAATATATCACTCTCTCCGACTTGTTAAGTTATAATACATTTCTAAATCATGCAAGTTTATGGCCTGATAAATATGTTCATCATACTAACAGCTTAATGATGAAACCCGTGTCTACATTCAAATTTCGGGCTAGTGAATTATTTTGTGGGCTAGTAACTTTCAGGCATAGCTAGCCCGCCTGGCTAGCAAAGTTTGGAAACTATTTCGCACACTGGTGAGTGAGTGAGGTTAGGTTTACGCCGCACTCAGCAATATTCCAGCTATATGGCGGCGGTCTGTAAATAATCGAGTCTAGACCAGACAATCCAGTGATCAACAGCATGAACATCAATCTACGCAATTGGGATACGATGACATGTGTCAACCACGTCAGCGAGCCTGACCATCCGATCCCGTTAGTCGCCTCTTACGACAAGCATGGGTTACTGACGATCAATTTAACCCGGATCTTCACGGGTCTCATTATGGAAGAACGTGTGTGCTTATACTGTCTATAACTAAATCAGCGGGCAGTATATAAGTTCAATACGGTTTACATGCATGTGATATAGTATATGTTCGTTGTTATGGGGCGGTGGGGTAGCCTAGTGGTTAAAGCGTTGGTCGTCACGCCGAGGACCCGGGTTCGAATCCCCACATGGGTACAATGTGTGAAGCCCATTTCTGGTGTCCCCCGCTGTGATGTTGCTGGAATATTGCTAAAAGCGGCGTAAAACCAAAACTCAGTCAGTCAGTCAATCGTTGTTATGACAGCGGTTAGTAAAATAATAATGATTTCCGATTCCTGTTGAATGTTAAACACTTTATTCCCGGTATCACACCAAAGAAAATGTGTATAACTAGTGTTTTGCTTTTTTCTAGAGAAACGATGGCGGCGCCACTGATCATCACGGTATTTGGAGCAACTGGGTCGCAAGGTGGCGCTGTAGCACGTACCCTTGCAACTGATTCCAACATCCGGGTACGTGCGGTGACAAGTGACTCCTCACAACCGCAGCAGTTGGCTCAGAATAACGGAATTGAAATTTGCCGGTGCAATTTGAATGACGTTTACAGTATCAACGCGGTTCTGAACGGTACCGACGCATGTCTCCTTGTCACCTACACCGACTTTAAAGATCCATCGTGCAAAGAAAATGAAATTCGCCAGGGACGTCTAATAGCAGACGCATGCGCAATGGCTGGCGTGAAACATGTAGTTTTCAGTACACAGTTGCACGCGAAACGCATGCTGGGAATTGAGGTTCGTCACCTCGACGCCAAGGCTGAGATCGAGGATTATTTATATCAGAAGAATATCCCTCTGACGTGTATCATGGTGCCATGCTTCTATGAAGAGTTCATGGGACTGTTCAGGCCCGACCAGGTTGACCACCACGAATATAGACTGTGTAAGTTTCAGGTATGCTTTTATAACGCCATTTATCGTCCTTGCATCGGGACGAAGAATACCATGATGGAATTAAACGCTGTCGCTGTTAACCTTAAATAGGGTGGATTAAATGTCTTCTAAACGATCAGCAAGTTTCATGAATCCAAAGGTTCCTTAAACGATGACAGAACGTTTCTCTGACGTTTCATTACAGCATTGCCCATAGGCCAGGCCCCGCTGGATATGATCAGCATCGACAACATCGGGGACATCGTGCGGAAGATCTTCTTCAACCGCGACGTGTACCTCAACAAGACCATAAGTGTCTGCGGTGACAAGATCACGATCAGGGAGATTGCCCAGATTCTCACCACACATCTCAAACCGAAAGTGTTCAAAGAAAAACAGGTAAACATGTACCTATGTATAGGGTATGGTCCGAAAAGTCGCGATTATCTTTACACGTTTAGCTGGTGGCGAGTCAAAAGGAGTTTACGACAGCTTGTTTCCATTCGATTATGGTATCTCTTGACTGAAAAGATGCATTCAGAACTTCAGAAGTTTTGGTTTACATCCTCAAACAGAATGTGTACATTATGGTGTCTCTTTACTAAAAGGACCGTTCGCATACGACTATATGGACCTTTCATAATATATGGTTACGGGGTGATGATGATTTGTATGGAGAAGCATGTACAGTGTGGTATTGTGAATGACCTACCCTAACATGTATACATATGTACATAGTAAGTGACCCCACCGCCAACCCCCTGCATGTCATGTACAAAATCAATGACCACCCCCTAGTACATGTCTACAAAATTGATGACCCACTACCTCCCCAGAACAAAGTGCGTGACACACTTAAACCACGTCAAACACTCATAGCTAAAAAAAAATCATCACCACCCACCCTAGCCAAATAGCCATAAATTATGAACGGTCCCTAACGATAAAAGCCAGTTGTGACAAAAACATGACCACCCCGATCCGCTGCAGGACGATCAAACTATTGGAGGATGAATTCTAGTTGATAACTATGGGGGCGTCTGTTTGATATTCAGACTATTGGAGGCGTTCATCGTGAACGCGGGTGCCCAATCTTCAAATAACAGTCATCTGATTTTGTTTCAAATCGGATTCAACCAGACTGGGATGTTTTGGCATTTTGGCGGCCTGATGATATGGTATATGATGTTTGTATGTGTTTTTATCTTGTGCGGATTCCTGGTCCTAGCAAGTTATGTCTGTCGCGAGAGCCAACCAATTTTGGAGAAGGTGACCATTGCCTGTTGTGACTGATGATGACATGTTGGTCCACCTGATCTGGAATCCATGATGGTACCCTTGATGGTATCAACATTTGTAACCATGATGGTATCAATGCTGGTAACAAAATTCCACTTACCAGTACTGATATAAATACCCGGTGCAATTGTCAATTTACCCTTCGTTTGTGACGCTCTTACCATTTTACAAGCATAATATGCCATCAATATTTTATAGTGATTCATTAAACAAGATTATCGTACAATGGACTTAAGTGTGGATTTGTTTTCCCGAAGGAAATGTTTTTGTCTTTCTGACCACCATGTTCCGTGTGTTTCAGATCAGTGTGAACGACTACAAGATGCTGGACTTCCCAGGTGTCCGGGACTGGGCCAACATGTTCTACTTCTTCAGTCGGGTTGACCAGAGATACAACGTGGCGTCCTCCCGGCAGATCAACCCCAGATTGCTCTCGTTCGAGGACTGGGTTTGTCAAAACAGGGACCTCCTGCACAAGACGCTGTGACTGAGGCAGTGATAGGGTTGGGGACGTCAAGAGTACTTCACGGGCATGGGTACATTTTGTTCCTAAATCTAAGGATACCTCCATGCTTAAGGACGTCTTGCGATGTTGTCGCTCGTCTTACCAACTATTCAAGCAAATGCCTGGTCAAACAAGGAGATGACGTGTGCGTGACGTGTGTGACGTGTGTCATAGCCTTGCAGCCGTCTGCTCCACGCACAGCCACTCTGTCTAGGCAATGGTAAGGTTCGCACAACGTCCACACTCCGTGCATGGCACACACGCACTGTCAACGGATTATACATACTGTACTTCCTTTATCAGACGCCCATCCACCTATTTATTTCGCTCAAGCCGCAGACCCCGCGTCTGCAGAGTTTAACGTTGGCACAGTGTCAAATTTCCACCATATGGAATATAACTTTTGTTTATCACACAAAGGCTGTTTTCTGGACACGGTCATCATAGAATGAAGGACAAATCATTAGATTATTAAAGTGATTGGAATTATTTATTTCATAAGATACTGGACCCGGCTCTTATCTTTTGGACAGAGCATGCCACCTGACGTCAATTTAAGACCAGTGAGAATTGGATTACAGCATCTTATAGAAGAAATACCCTATACATTGTCAAATTTATTCTCGGAGGATGGAGGAATTAAGTTTATGAATCCCAGGATGTCTACTGATGTCGGATAGTCAAGGTCAACTTTTAACATGAAGACCAATGATCGTGGAGGTACCTAGCTCCTCCTGACTGTAGGCTTTAACCCAACACATCAGTTAAATGGGAGTCTCAGCGTTGGAAGAAGCATGGCATGCCAACAAATGCAATGGATATACAACTGAAGGTGTTTGTACAGACGTATACACTGTTGATCTACTTGAACTTCCATCATTGATCAGAAAACCTAGAGATGATTTACACAATGCCATATAGAAAGTGGTCAAGAAAGTCTACGTCATTTCTCGTGTAAAGCAGCTTCCAATTGGGCCTGGGGCTCCTTTCACGAAGCAACCTTTACTAAGGTTAACCTTAATTCCCATTCTATAACATTGCACTAAGGTTACCTTAGTGACTTACGATCACCTTAGTGCTTTGTGAAAGGAGGCCCAGGTTCTGTACAGGAGGATCCTTTTGTTGCGCACGACGACCAGTAATGCCCCAGATTTGGGCATGTATCGGGGTTACAATCGGGACTCATTCAATCGTGACATATGTCAGGGGTGCTTAACTATGTTCCATGTGTATATATCAGGAATGTTCATGTACCGGCCCGATAGATAGGTCCACCTTGGTGGACAATTGTACAAAGTACATAATCAATTTGCAGCAATACTTTAAATCAAAAATGAATGACAGTAATGTCTGTTACTCACCCTGTCAATCATCCAACACTGAAAAATGTTTGTAGCGTGTTGTTGTCTAAGACGAGACTGCGGTAGGATATTTTGTGTACTATATCTAGTTCATTTAACCCAAATCCGAACCTGCAGAATGGACAGGGGACCTCTGATTTGATCAAAACGCCGTCTATAATGACTGGAACGGCTACCGGGGCCCACCCTCAGTGTATGCACAGTAAGAAAGCCATTCTGTCCCAAGGTTATGGAGAGAGGTAATGGTGTTTGATATGAAACTCAAATGCCAAATTTTACATTTTATCTTCATGATACTATATCGTCACCGTCCAGTATTACAGCTATGCTTTAATTTTGCAATATATTTATGCGAATAAAATGTTTATGCTTTTCGTTTCATTTTATGAAATACATGGCGAACATTTCTTCAAATCTTTTCAAATCGTTGGTATCAATGGATGTAGTGAATGAGTGAGTATGGTTTTACGCCGCTTTTAGCAATATTCCAGCAATATCAGCGGGGGACACCAGAAATGGGCTTCATACATTGTACCCATGTGGGGAATCGAACCCAGGTCTTCGGCATGACGAGCGAACGCGTTAACCACTAGGCTACCCCACTGCCCTTTAGTTAAAGTGGGATGACTGATTTTAGTTTTAGCCGCTTTTAGCACTATTCCAGCAATATCATGGCGAGGGACACCAGAAATGGGCTTCACACACTGTACCAATGTGGGAATCGAACCCGGGTCTTCGATGTGACGAACCAAGGCCTTTAACCACTGTGCTACCCCACCGCCCCTCACTGGCTGTAAGGGGTCCGTCAGAATTAAGAGGTGAAACAGGAGGAATGAAACAACAGACAGAAATGAACGTGAGATTTATGTTTAGGCGCCTTACAACTTTCTATTGTACATCACCATATCACACGCTTGCTTAAAGAAACGTCTTTCCTGGACTTGTGGGAATTTTGTTACCAAACTTGGCAACCAAAGGTACAGTAAAACACCATTCTTTCAGAGGTTCAGGACAATTTGTAATAAAATCTACTACAGTGTCATCTGGTGGATATTTAGAAAGTATGTGAAACGCTTGACTTCTTCATTGATAGAAACCGTGTCAAATTCGGGGCTAAATTTGTATTCAGAAGTCATCTACGCAAGAAGTCATGGGCACCAACCGTGTTCCCCTTCTTGTGGATCTGTTCCTTTGTGCACATGAATCGGAATTTCTGGTAGAAAAACAATTTGGCAAAAACGCATAAATTAAGCTTCGGGTGTATTAGTGATCGATATGGTTCAATAACCATCAAATAGCCAACTTCCTCCCTCTGATTTACCTACCTGACTTATGTCAGAGAAGAGACCAATGAAATTGCCTCATTTGTTTCGTATGTACGAGGGTCGGTTGGCCTCACCTAGAAAATAATACAAATGTAGCTGTTTTTATGTTTTATTTTTCTACATAACTGTCAACCTAAAGCAAATTGGTTTTGCTATGTTCCAGCCTCACGATGATCCCCATTCTGTTTGACTTTTTATCTTGGTACTCCCCCCAAAATGCAAAAATCTGCCATAAATGCATCACAAACTTCAGGAAACAAAACATTTTGTTTGGGATAGGTAGAAGTCCGCTAGAGTCAAGCTTAGCTATTAAAGTGCATAAAAAGCAATTTGAAACTACAATCGCTTGTTAAAGTGACTCCCCCTTCATGTGTGCTGAAAGAACTTGTTTTGGAGACGCTATCCACCCCCAGATGACGTAATCATTAGGACAGAACGTATTCTAATGTTTTCACTTACTCATACATGATGTCAGGGTTCAAACTAAATACTGGATGGTCACATAAGTGTCAGCTCAATATATTGTAAACAGTACCAGCTTGAATATCTGGACAATGTTTTGAAAGACTAAAATGTTTTGTCCTTAAAAAATAGCCCCCTCTAAATATACATCAAGCAATCCAAATCTTTGACTGTTGATTATGACGGGAAGTCATCCAATACAATACTTAACATATTTCATATATTATCTGAGGGCAAACCATTATCCAAGAGGTACCAAATGACTGATCGTTTTTCATTTTCTGCTTGTTTTAAAGAAATACTATACCCCAATGTGTTATGAGAACTAATATCTTACAACATTACCCACATATGTGAACATCGAGAATATAACTAGGCCGACTAACTTTTGACCGACCCTCGTAAGTCGGGATTCTTAAAGATAGGTGAGGTGAGGTGAAATTGGGTTTTACGTCGTGCTTGAGAATATTTCGCTCATATGACGACGTGCATGCGTGTGTATGTGTATGTGCGGCTGCTTGTACTAGCCCAGACTGAAGCTGGTTTTATAGTGCTAGCCCACTGAGATACCATGCCGCAGTGAAGCATGAATACCCCACTCAGACACATTATACTGACTCCGAGCCGACCAGTCCTTGTTGTACCCATTAATGCCGAGCGCCAGACAGGGACCAACAAGTACCATATTTTAACGTCTTTTGGTATGACGCGGTCGGGGATCGAACCCGCGACCTTCCGCTCTCCGGGCGGACGCTCTAACCACTACACCACGGAGGCGGTTTTAAAGATAGCAGTAACAACCATCTCTCTGCTTGACTGCTATTTTGACTTGTACCAGATGGTCCCGTGGTTTTGCTTTCAGGTTTTAGAGGTACACAACTGAATTTAATGTGTGTATGCGTGCGTGTGTGTCATGTCACACCAGCAAGCGTGCAAATGGACACACACAAGAATGCCGTCTTGGTGGTCAAGGAGATTTGGACTAAGGTTCCTGCAATGGTTGTAAAATCTGAGAATCAACAACATACGGAAATGTATATAAATACATGCCCAAATCAGTTGTGTTGGGATTCAGGGTCTTTGGTCTCGGATACCCAATACCGGTTGTGTGAATCTTAATTTGGATGAGATTTACAATGTATGACCTAAAGAGTGATAGCTTAACATTCTAGGTATCGTCCACCATCTGTCATTGAGCCCCTGAAGAGCCCCAGGTACTTTTGGTACCTGTGGCAATTCAAGGCAAACGTTTTCGTTACGTGGGTTGATTTCACAAACAAACCTTCATATAAATATCTATCTTCACCAGTGAAAATGTTCGGGTAAATCTCGAATATACCCAACCAAACACACTTTCGCTGATGTTGCAAGATTTTGGCACGAAATAACACAAGAAATTGATGTAAATGTTCCCTATACAATCCTTCATATCATATAACATTCCAATGCCACTCAACCTTTTCGATGGTGGAAACTACTAGCGTCCAGGGAGCCTTAAGTTTCACCTCGTGTTCTTCAAGGAGAATACTTTGGAGGTGTTGGTTTTAGGATCCCAGCAAGAATGAGGGCTACACGAATGTTCAAATTATTCTGATTGGCGGGAACTTGAATGCTGCGAAATATCTAGATTGTATTTAAAAAAACAAAAACGTTTTCGCAACAGAACTGATCTGGGGTGACATTCAAGTACAAAAATGCCTGACCGTGTGTTGATGGATTTGTGCTGCAGTATCTAAGAACAGTTGACGAAGAACAGTTGACGAAGAACAGTTGACGAAGAACAAAGGTAAGGCACCAGTCTAAGATGTCGGAGATGGTCCAAATCATCCCTCAACAACCCTGCATGTACACTGAAATGTTTTCTCTTTCAGCCCCACAGGTTCATATATCATGTGAAACATGGCACTCAATTCCACTCTCATCCTCTTCTCAGCCAAGGCAACCAATTTTTTCCGTTTTGATTATGTTCTAAATGCTGCAGCTGACTTTTAAAGAATGATACTTTATCACCCTCTACATGTATAACAGGAGAACAGATACATGATGCAAATATAAATAATTTATAGACTGAAATATTCAGTAAAGATCAGATCTGGTTCCAAGAACCGGAACTCCCAAACAGTAACCGGAGCTTCCTCAACAAACAAAACCAAGCCTCACAGGCAGCTTGGGTTAACCATGGATAAACATGTCTGAGCTTTAAGCATAATTTGTCCCTGACGCCACTGAGCATCTCTGAGTGAGTGAGTGAGTGAGTTAGGTTTTATGCCGCTTTTAGCAATATTCCAGCAATATCACGGCGGGGGACACCAGAAATGGGCTTCACACATTGCACCCATGTGGGGAATTGAACCCGGGTCTTCGGCGTGACGAGCGAACACTTTAACCACTAGGCTACCCCACCACCACGAGCATCTTTGAGGTGGATATTAGAGCGCTCTATAAATCTATTACATACATACATACATACACACATAGGGCACATACATACATACATACATACATACATACACATACACACATACATACATACATACATACATACATACATACATACATACATACATATACACATGTATACATACATGGAACATACATATAACACAAGGGCAGGGTAACTCGGGTACCCAGGTCGAGAAGGTACTGAGCAGGATCCAGGTACCTGAAGGACTTCAACAATTGTTCCTAGTGACACCCTACTCTATATCACTGTATGTTCTTGGAAATAATGTGAGCCGTATACACAAAATCATGTTATTTATGATCTCAATGTAAATGAAATCTCGATGAATGTAACTGAAGGCTGGTGTGCCATGGGTACCCAGGTGGGTTTTGGGGTCAGATACAGGGTTTGTTGGTGAGTTTAATGCCACACCTCACCAAGATCAAGCTATATGACAGTGATCTGTAAACAATCAGGTCTGTAATAATCGGACCAAACAATCCAGTGATTGACATCATGAGCATCAACCAATGCTATGGAATACAATGACATGTGTCAACCAAGTCAACAACCCTGACCACCCAATCCTGCTTGTCAACAAGCATAGGTTGCTGGAGACCAGTTCTAACCCGGGTCTTCACGGGTTTGGTACCTGGGTAAGAAATCCAGACTTATCCCCATCCCCCACTAAATGTCTGACTTAGACAGAGACAATCACACACTGACCATTCAAAGTTTCTCTCATTCACATGCCTATATTACAGCGACGTCATCTAGATGCTGATGGATCAGGTTTGATCACAGCTTCATCCCACGGACCGTAGATGTTACTGAAAACAACAAATTCTATGTTCAAACAAAGTATGATAATAAACTTTCTTTCTATATTGTCTGAAAACATTTGTTTCTCAAACATTACAGTTAAAGAAGTCATGCACAGCTGACAACTGGTAAGATAATTTGAGCATTAAATCAGCACATTTTTATACAGCTGTAGTCTGATGAGCAGGTTGAGTCATCAAAATCAGCATACTCACTTTTTTACAGGTGAAGTATGGTGAACTGATTGAATCATACTCAGTTTTTATACAGCTGAAGTATGGTGAACTGATTGAATCATACTCAGCTTTTATACAGCTGAAGTATGGTGAGCCTGATGAATCATACTCACTTTTTATACAGCTGAAGTATGGTGAGCCTGATGAATCATACTCACTTCTTATACAGCTGAAGTATGGTGAACTGATTGAATCATACTCACTTTTTATACAGCTGTAGTCTGGTGAACTGATTGAATCATACTCAGTTTTTATACAGCTGAAGTATGGTGAACTGATTGAATCATACTCACTTTTTATACAGCTGAAGTATGGTGAACTGATTGAATCATACTCACTTTTTATACAGCTGAAGTATGGTGAACTGATTGAATCATACTCACTTTTATACAGCTGAAGTATGGTGAACTGATTGAATCATACTCACTTTTTATACAGCTGAAGTGTGGTGAACTGATTGAATCATACTCACTTTTATACAGCTGAAGTATGGTGAACTGATTGAATCATACTCACTTTTTATACAGCTGAAGTATGGTGAACTGATTGAATCATACTCACTTTTTATACAGCTGAAGTATGGTGAACTGATTGAATCATACTCATACTCACTTTTATATACAGCTGAAGTATGGTGAACTGATTGAATGACTCACTTTTATGAACTGGATGAATCATACTCACTTTTTATACAGCTGAAGTATGGTGAACTGATTGAATCATACTCACTTTTTATACAGCTGAAGTATGGTGAACTGATTGAATCATACTCACTTTTTATACAGCTGAAGTCTGGTGAACTGATTGAATCATACTCACTTTTTATACAGCTGAAGTATGGTGAACTGATTGAATCATACTCACTTTTTATACAGCTGAAGTATGGTGAACTGATTGAATCATACTCACTTTTTATACAGCTGAAGTATGGTGAACTGATTGAATCATGCTCACTTTTTATACAGCTGAAGTATGGTGAACTGATTGAATCATACTCAGTTTTTATACAGCTGAAGTATGGTGAACTGATTGAATCATACTCACTTTTTATACAGCTGAAGTATGGTGAACTGATTGAATCATACTCACTTTTTATACAGCTGAAGTATGGTGAACTGATTGAATCATACTCACTTTTTATACAGCTGAAGTATGGTGAACTGATTGAATCATACTCACTTTTTATACAGCTGAAGTATGGTGAACTGATTGAATCATACTCACTTTTTATACAGCTGTAGTCTGGTGAGCCAGCAGGGGCAGATGAACGTGATGAACACGTGGAACACAGCAAACAACACAGCACCTGCTGTTGTGATGGACAACAGCAACATGAATGCCCCGCCCCCCAGGAGAACAGTCAGTGGAACCTGGCTTTTGGGTGCATTAGTCTGAAAACACGTATATCACATAATGGGCCTTATCTTCTAATTCATGCTATAACCTGAAAGTATGTTTTTCTCTAATTAAAATTAAACCTGTAACACATTCTGTTGCTTTGAAATTCTTTGAAGTCAACTCATCACTATACTGGCGCCAACTTTTAAGTATGCATGCATTATCCTTGGTGTTTTCCCAAAGATTTTCCACCAAAATAAACGAAATAGAGTCTCAAGGCTGTCAATTGACTCATGAAAAAATAATTTGATGACACTTTAACTGCATTCTCATACAAATATTGAAAGTGATTTAAAGAAAATTTGGTGCTAAAGATTCTGATGAAATCTAAAGGTTTGGTTTGTTGTTTAACACCACACACAGCAATATTCCAGCTACATAGCGACAGTCTGTAAATAATTGAGTCTGAATCAGATTATCCAGAGGTCAACAGCATGAGCATCAATCTACACAACTGGATAATATTCAAGTTTAAGACATGCTAAGGAAATCCCAAATTGCTCTGATTCAATGCATGCCTGGCATGTATAGCAAATTTCATAGTCAAATACTGAACGGTTTCAGAGATGTTGACTGACTGACTGAGTTTGGTTTTACGCCGCTTTTAGCAATATTCAGCAACATCACGGCAGGGGGACACCAGAAATGGGCTTCACACATTGTACCCATGTGGGGATTCGAACCCGGGTCTTCGGTGTGACGAGCCAAAGCTTTAACCACTAGGCTACCCCACCGCCCCTCAGAGATGTTGAACACAAAATAAACATGACAGACTGACAGAAAGATGGAAGCTGTTTCTGTATCTGCTGTGAAACTTTCTTGAGTCTGGGAACAGGCAAACAAACACATACCTTCAGTTTCCGCCTCAGGACTGGCCACAGAGCGAACAGCTCAAAAGCGAAGACAATGGTCGTGAAGGCATGCCAGGTGGTGTTCAGACGAGAAGCCAGGCACACAGATGCAAACGTCGCTGCGCTTTGAGCTTAGAGACAGAAGCAGCATAGTTCCTGACCTGACACACTGAAACATCAGCATAGTTCCTGACTGTAGGATAGGACAAGATGTGACATCATGCACTCAAACCAGCTTCATGTAGAAGAAACTTTATGGACAATTTCCTTTTGACCATAGTTACAATAGAAGTGATATTTTGTGTAGATCAACATCTTTGTGAGTGAGTTTAGTTTTACGCCGCACTCAGCAATATTCCAGCTATATGGCAGCGGTCTGTAAATAATTGAATCTAGACCAGACAATCCAGTGATCAACAGCATGAGCATCGATCTGCGCAATTGGGAACCAATGACATGTGTCAACCAAGTCAGCAAGCCTGACCACCCGATCCCGTTAGTGGCCTCTTACGACAAGCAGATCAACATCTTTGTCAAGCATGAGATGAAATTGACATTAGAAGCTGTCCATCAGCCTTGAGGTTGACATGAATTATTAACGTTGAGGGTACATCCCCTATGTATCCGAGGAATTGGTGCACACCTTTTATTAGAAACTTTTCTTACCTTACACATAAATTTAATGCAGGTATGTTACACACATGATTTGGTCCAAATCAGTAAGAATACCAGTTTGGGATTTATACAAATTGTTCATTTTTTTCACAAACTGTAAACTCTGGTTCAATAACAATGAACTCAAGGGATTATCAATGTTAGTTATGACCAAAGTTCAGCTAACATATGCAGCAAGTGGCTTGGATTAAAATCCGTTCCTTATGTACTTCAGTTTGTTATAAGTGTGTTTGATAAAAATACAGTTTACTAAACATAGAAAACTAGCAGACCACTGAACAAACAAGAGTTACTTCCCTTAGACATATTTCAGTTGGAAAATATTGTAAATATCCAGACTGGAATCTTAACATGCTTACTTGGTATGTTGCGAATGTAATGCCAACCAGTCAGCTGTTTGAGCATTGAATGTTAAAAAAGTACCTTGAAAATAACAAAATGTCTCTCAAGCAATCAGAATCCAAGAATGAAAGACAATATGCCCTTGTCCATCACATCAAGTTACCAATGCCACTCAAGGCAGCTTTAAGTACATATTCAGTGCAGTGACTGTGAAGATTTACTGGCCCAGCGAGATTTTTACTAGCCACGGGCTAGCGGGCCAGTGGCTCTTTTGCACTGATTCAGTGTATAAAATATAGCCCGTCCCACCGTCCTTGACAGTCTATTTCTGTTAAATAAGTAAGGCCATCCTTTGGTCGGGGGAAATATTTGAAAAATATAAACTTAACTTGGTTTCAATGCAGAGTTTTAGTTTTTTGGGACTGGCTGTATTTGTTCAGGACTGGTCACTTTTTTTGGACAGTTTGTCCTTGGACAGGCCACATTTCAAAACTATTTTATATGCTGACATATTCAAGTGGGAAATTCTCTGCTTTTCTAATTAAGGGACTGATTACATGGATTTTGGTTTGCTTAGATCTTTACGGGTTCATCAGGGTTGGACCCCACTGGTATAATTAACTACTGTCTTATACCATTCCCTCCTGTAAAAGCCTGACACGCTACGGCAATTGGTCATGCTCATTCTTTTGTAAAACATTTACACCTACATGGCAGCACTTGTACCGTAGTCATGGAACAGGACATTGGCCAGCAACATGACAGTCGTCATGGCATAGATCGTGTCCGTGCTGACCGTCTCTGTCAGTGACACTAAGATCGGTGAGAGTCCAAAACTGAAGCCGGAGAACAGAACGGCTGTCTTCAGATCGTCCATCACTGGAAAAGAAAGGAACATGTATATTTTTTCAATTTTTAATCATAATTATGATATCATTACATAAATTGCATATTTATCTAATGCTACTAACATCAATATATTTCATATTGTATACTATATCAAAGAACATGACATGAAATTGCATCATAATATATCATTAATCATGTTAATCATCAATAATATTATCATGATAGTAAATTACTGATGTAAACATTTGGCTGACAGCACACTATCCACATTTTTCTGTCAGCTCTTGTAACCAGCATGTACAATGGGTCCTGGGAACTATTCTTCATCAAACTGACTGCATACTGAGCCAGGCATGCAAGGTTTTACCGAGCACAGAATAATGCATATGCATCAACAAATGCCACTGTACCATTGTTCAACACTTATCGACAAATATGGCCACTGCTGTCAGTATTGATATTGAATCAAATATTCCAAAATACTGAATCTCTCCATAATAAAAAGAGTGAGTGAGTGAGTGAGTTGGGTTTTACTCTGCTTTTAGCAATATTCCAGCAATATCACGGCGGGGGACACCAGAAATGGGCTTCACACATTGTGCCCATGTGGGGAAACAAACCCAGGTCTTCGGCGTGACGACCAAACGCTTTAACCACTAGACTACCCCACCATATCAAAATTGGATTTGAACCTCTTGAACTCTGCTTCCAGGGCTCCAGATAAGGGCCGTATCGGTAGGTACGGATAAAAAATATACACAATACGGTAGGAAATAATTTAGAAAACGTAGCAGATACGCACCACAGCAATTCCGTACGGTCTTAAAATCATTTACAGATATATTTATCTGAAAAAGTATTGTTTAATTGTTTATTGACCGTTTACACCAGAGTAGCAATGCTGTCATGCATATATGAAACGAAGCACAAGTTTAATGATACACCATTAAATTCCATTCAGTACTCTAAATGTACTCTTATTGTTTTCCAGTACTCATATATTGAAAAAATAAGGAGTACGTACTCCTGATGTTGATAAATTATCTGGAGCCCTGTGCTTCCATTATCATGATTATTGGTGGTAACAAGCAGTTTAAGTTTCACTGGTCCCAAGGAGATGATGTTTACAGTGCAAATAGTACTACTGGTTTTGTATCTTAGATACCGCCTACAAAGACAATAAGCTTACTTGTCCTCTTGGACTGAGACCGACTCTGTCCACCATCGATGACATCGTTGAGGAGGTATGCAATGACAGTCACCCCGGTTGACACAGCACAAAGACTCTCTGCCGACAACCACTTCTCATTCATGTACACAAACACTACCACAAACAAGCAGACGCTGAAACAACCAGAGCCAGAGGCAAAATGTAAAATAGCCCCATTAACATGAAGTGTGCCACAAGAGCACAAACTTAAAGGTGTACCATATAAGGTTTAAGTGTACCAATGAGAAGAAAGTGTCTCTCTCACAAATACAATTGAAGGTGTGTTTGTAAAGTTTATGGTGGCTCCACATAATCAAGATATACATTACCACAAACTATTTTAATGAAAATTGGGATTTTAAAAGGTCTTAAAGAGACACAACATTTTTAGAGTCTACACATCATCATTTCTGTCTTATGGTATATGTTTTGACAGATACTTATATGAACAGTATTTTTAATCCAAATTATAATGAATATAAATGAATCCCCACATAACATGTGTAATGCTATGTTAGACTGCTGCTTATCAGCAAATTTTTCATGTTGTTCATGTTGTAGAAACTTACAACTTTTGTGAAGCGATAATAAATAATTAATATTGGAAGACAGGGATTATTTTAGGATATTCATGGAATTGAAACCAGTGATCAGAAACTAAGCAAAGTAAAGCATCTGGCCAAAAAGCCACCTATGTACCCTCTGGAACTTGTGACACAGTGGTTTATGCTACTGGTACCTGCTAAGATGCTGAGTAATCACTCCTGACTCGTAAACCAGAGGTAGGTATTCATACTTCCGGGTGTACACTGGTGGAAAAAAGGCTTTTATTAAATAGATTTACAGAACCACGAACACGTACGGTTTATTGAAATATTGCATATATCAAACACATATACATTTGTCTTTGTTTGCGTCAGAGCAGAGATGAGTATTTCTAAGTTTTTAAAAGTCATTACTAAATTGAAATGACTTACTGCCATAATAATACAGTAAGTACATTTGCAACACATGGCAACTGCGATCATCACTTATCATAAGGACCTTCACAGATCGAACATTTAACCTCCTCATATCACCAGTCAGCATTGACAAAACGCTTCATTCACGAGTCGTTCGAGTAAGACATTGACAATTTTTGTTAGAAGAAATACTCAAACATACAATTCTTCTTTAATTCATCCAAGAAACTAGCGTCGACGTAGTTATCAGGTACACCTTGATCTTCGTAGAGGATCTTTCGCCACTTGGGTTTGGCGGCCATTTTGACGATCACGTGATGTGGTATACGAAAGTTATTGATGGGTTTAGTTTTATATTATGATTTTTTATGATAGCATAATTATTGTTAGATATGATCTGAATATACTTCATGAACATGTGTTTGTCAAAAAGTATATTGACAAATTACTCGTTTCTATGGACATGACGTCACGGGTTATGACAACAAATATGGCGGACGGCTGATGAATTTATGTGAATGTGTAAACATTTAAACGCCCATCATAAGTTGTAGATGTCAGTAATTACATACTGATAGTTATTGTTGATGGTTTGACAGTTAATAGTTTCATTGTCACACATAAGTAAACAGTCATGCCGCCCAAGAAGAAGAAGAGCGGAAAGAAGAAGGGGAAAAAGAGTGGAAAGAAGTCTGGACGTGGATCTCCAGCCAAAGTTTCCACCGAACAGCTCAACGAATTGTCCAAAGAATTTTTCCTGATACAAATCAGAGATCTTGAGAATAGACTCGTCAGGTTTGCTATTGTTTTCATATCATCAGTATTGTTATCATTTGTAGAATTTTGTAAATAAATTAGCAAAGTGGCGATGCAGTGTCAGACTCAAAGCATTGTCTGAATTTGTCATTAATATCAGGTATTGATTTATTAAAAAAGATTGTATACAAATTATTATGAGGACTTTTACATGAACACTCGTCGATTAGCAGTTGCCGTATCTATAATCCTATTTTTAAAATACTGATGATGAAGGGGTTGTTGTTGACTGTACAGAAATGTACCCTAGCCAAAATCTACAGAAACATACCCCAGGACGTGTCCATTCTACAGTCGGAACTGTCATACTATTGTATGAGATGCAATTTCAATTGTGTCATATAAGAAACAATCATTCACAAGCATTGCGGTTGCAATCCTGAGACACGGAACTATTTAACATGAGCCTGTTTACGTTTTTGGTTGAGGAATATGGAAGAGGTACATTTATGTATTTGACTTTGTTTAGGTATAGTAAGATACATATCCCAACCAGACAAGACCCTTCAGCCATTAAATATTGCCATACTAATTGACTGAACTATGCAAACAAGTTAATTGTAACACGTTGAATACACATTAAAAGAAATATGTCAAGGGCATTTAAGGATGTCATTCATTGTTTTGAAAGCAGAACCATCTATCTCCATCTTTTTACCGAATACCGAATAACAAATCCACATTCCCATAGAGATGTTGTCTATTTGAGCTTTTTAAATAAAGACCGCTAACTTTTTTTTTTTCCAAAGATGAAAAAGTAACGACTGCTGACTAATCATCCTAAATATGCCAAATATAACCTGAAAACTGACACTTCTCCACATAAAATCTTTTGTAGCATAATGTGGAGGCCAGCCCCAGTTGTTATCAATGTACTTGACCAGATACAATACCTGAATCTAAACATTTGGGATACAACTTAATCTAAACATGAACTAGCTAGAATAGTGGAACCAAAATTGAACACTGCCTGAAATGCCTAAAATTTATCTTTGCTTCCAGATGTTCAAGATAGACTGACCTTTAGACAGACTGTCTCATGCCAGTGAGCTATTGCCAATTGTGTTGCTGTAATGACTTACATGTATAATTCATTTTTAGGATTGGTCACTAGTGACAAACTCTAGGTGAATTGGATAGGAAATGAAAACATTAATTATTCATGATCTGTTGGAGATTCATTTTGATTTTTATAAGACCTACAAATATAACAAACACATCTAGACCCCACAAATCACAACCTTTTTTCTTAGTCTTTTCTTTATGCCACTTGTGTAAATTTTGTTTCATTTTTCTATAAATAAACCGTTTATTATCGTTCTCTAAAGCAGACCTATACCAATCTGCTTTAAACAAATCAGAGCATGAGCATGTTTGTGACTCAAGATATATTCTTTTCTTAAATGTTTTTGTTGATGTCTGTCAAATACTTGACTCATATTCAAATATTATAAAAATTCTTATTATTGAAAACCAGTACTCAACTCATTTGAGACATTTCAGCCTTACCTATGTTATAAGTCCCAGGGGCGGTGGGGTAGCAGTGGTCAAAGCGCTGCGTCATGCCAAGACCCGGTTCGAATCACATGGGTACAATGTGTGAAGCCCATTTTTGTCTCGTGATGTTGCTGGAATATTGCTAAAAGCGGCGTAAAACCAAACAACTCAGTCAGTCAGTATAAGTCCCAGACTTGCATTCATTGAAATAAACAAAGTCTTTTTCTTATTTATAGGACACATCCGATAACGAATATACTGACTTGAAAAATCTTGTACTCATCCCCACTGGCCTTTATAATGTTTAGAAGGTTGACATGATGATTAGAAATTATCATATGCTAACTGAACTTTCTTGATCTGGTAAACCATGCTCTGATTGGTCAAGTGGAAGGTCATTCTGTCATAACACATAATGGATTGTTAGAAGTGCGTTTAGCAGTAGCGAGAACTAAATAGTCAGTTGTTTGATTGGTCCCTGCTGCCATATAGCTGCCTGAGATACAGCACGTATTGTAGATACCACAGACTAATAGTTTTAGAACGACCTTCTTCCAGGTATCAGAAAAAGTGCGATGAGCTTGAAGTTGGAAATGCCCAGTTCCATGACAAGTTTGACCAGATGGACACAGATAAGAGGGAGATCGTGTCCTTCTGGAAACAACAAGTGGAGAAAAAGTGTAAGCATCTGGATTTGTTAACAAGCTGTAAAATCTTAAACTATATAAACAATGCATAAGAGGCTTTAAGAAATTATTTATCAATTTTCCATCAAATTGTAATTTTAAATGTCAAGTTGGAAGCATTTTCTAAGTTGTGTTTTCTTAAACCTTATTTTCACCTTATACTTTGCATTTTAGCTGATGAGCTGGCAGACTTGAACGACCGTTTCATCGGCTTGCAACAGGCCAAAGATGCTGAGAAGGAAACGTATGAGAATCAGTTGCAGTCCTTGAGAAATGAATACCAGGAGATGAAGGATCAGCTGACATCGGAGAACATGATCTTAGGTGAGGGATAAATAATGTTGGCAGTAGTGACAGCAGCTTCAGGCGTCTCATCCATGGTGTAAATATCAAGTCCATTGTTAAAAGATACGCGAAGTAATCTCCTGTCATTATTTTGTTATGACATGCAGACAATGATATTTCTATATCATGTCATGCTGATCCATTGTCATCATTAGTTGTCATTTTCACATATTACTTTTGTAATTCTATAAATTCATACTTTCCCCCTCCCCATTGTAATGACATGGGTGGCCCAATGGTTTAATGCACCACATTTCACTGTGCATTGTCGGTGGGGTAGCTTAATGGTTAAAGCATTCGTTGGTCACACCGAAAACCCGGGTTCGATTCCCCACATGGGTACAATGTGTGAAGCCCATTTCTGATGTACCTCGCCGTGATATTGCTGGAATATTGCTACAAGCGGCGTAAAGCCATACTCACTCACTGTGCAGAGTTGCCTCCCTTGTGCACACCTGAATCCTATGATCACTGGTTTGAATCTCGGTTCACACTGATTATGCTTTTGACATTGCTTCAGGCTTTCTTCCGACAACCTTCTGATATAAATGAAATGTTCAAAGCATCATTGAACGTAACTCCTTCACTCTCCCTGTACTAGGTGGCAAGCTGGCGTCTCTAGAGGAGTTCAAGGTACAGAAGGAGGATTTGATGGCCAAATTTGCCATGATGGAGGAGGAGCTGGCCAAGAAGGATCAAGATCACAAGGAGGCTATCTATCTTGGAGAAGAAAGCTGTCATTGATAAGGACAGGTCAGTGACCATCAGCTTGTGGTGGTGGTATATAGTTATACCTGGGGATGGGTAGCCCTGTCATCCAGGGTGCAATTTGTTGTGCAGAGCTGCATCACATGGGAGTTCCAGGAATCTATGATTGTGGTTTGATTCCAGATTTTTGCCTTGATTATGTTTGTGGTTTGTAAGCATTAAACTCACTCCCATAGGTTTCTCCAAGTGATCTAAGACGTGCATAGCCTCAGGTGTTCCTCCTGTATCAAGCTGACAAGATATGGTGTGACTTAGATAGTGTCATGAAAGGCAAAAATGTTTTAACTGGTCTAATATACAAACTCTTCAGGTAAGACAGGCCTTGTTACCATGTCGAATAAGAAAATGAGTTTGTTTTATGACATGTTTCAAAGTGCTAGGGATAGCCGAGTAGCTAAATCATTTCTTTGTCACACTGAAAACCTGGGGCTCTTTTCACGAAGCAACCTTTACTAAGGTTAACCTTAACTCCCATTGCACTACGGTTACCTTAGTGACTTACAATCACCTTAGTGCTTTTTGAAAGGAGGCCCTGGCTTTGATGGAATATTGCGGAAAAAGCACCATACCACAACACTGACTCAGTCGTATGTATAATTGCTACTATATTATTGTACATGTATTGCAGTAGTATCAGAATGGTGATGAAAACATGTTATATTATTAACAGTGAAAGAACTTCGAGAAACCTAGTATATAAATACCTAGATAACAGCCTTTTGATCATGATGATTTGTGATTTCCCAATATATCTTCACAATGACAGTAAAACTATAGATTGCCCGGTGCATTTTAACCCTAATCTTTTCTTACTTGGAAAAATTGAAAAACCGTCTCAATTTTAAAAATAAGTATCTTTGAAAAAGTCAAATACTTTCAATGCAAATCAGGTTTAACTAACCATTTTTGATAGCATTCCCTCCTCACACGATACATGTAAGTATTAACTGGGAGATGCATTTTGTGTATATATTTGATAGATTTGGAGGTTTACATATTTGTGTTGTCAGAATAGAAATTTACAAGAGCATGTACTTGCCAAGATTGTGGCAGGACGGACCAAATGTTTGAAAATCTTCTAGCCCTGGGAATACCTTTAACATTTACCATACTTGTGGGAGCTAGTGGGCTTATCCTAATTTCCATCCCAGCAAAATTTCCTTTAAAAGGTTGATGCCATTGGTTAAAACTGTTTCTGTTATTGCATCCTGAATTGACAGGTTAAAGAAGGAGATGATCCTGAGAGTGAACCAAGTTGCTGCAGAGTTTAGGAAAGTTTCCAACAAACAAATGGCTGAGACAACCAAAAGGACAATACGTGAAAATGTGTCAATCAATGCACAGTTGGCAAAAATGTCTGACAAAACCATGGAACTGATTCAGGAGAACGATGAACTTCGTCAGCGGGAGAAGAAACAGAAACAGCAGATTGAGCTGCTGGAAACAAATGAGAAGGAATTACTCAAGAAAAATCACAGCGGTCAAAAGGTACATGGTTTGATCTTTTGGTAGAAAATTTCAACAAGTAATTTATTAGCGACTAATAGAAAATGGAGAGCAATTGACCTTTTTAGTTCGTTTTTGGTGTTTTGTTTTGTTCTTACCATGCTTATGATGTCTGTGGTAATAAATATATTGACATCAATGCGGCCATTTTGCAACCTTTATGACTGTGCAGTCAGATTTGTCAAATACTGAGGGCTAGCTGTAACTCTGTTCTGATTACTTAACATCAAATTGTATTTGATATCAAACAGAAACTAATTTCACTATATTTGTGTTTTCTTGTATCGTTATAGTCCACAATTATGATCAAACAAATATCAAGATAGTCATTTTCATTATCTTTTGATTTTGCTATTAGTCATTCTGAACTATCCGAAAGCAATTTAAAAAATTAATCGCCTTATGTTGGTCATTATGTCAGCATGAGATAAGTTTGGATGGCCAGAGTAAAATGTTTGGCACAAACTGTCCTTGTATCAAAAGGTACCACAAGAGAGCTTTTGTTTATGTTCAGATGATTAAGATGTTCACGGAGAAGTGTCGGAACCAGGAAGCCATGATAGCAGAGTACGAGCTGAGGGAGGAGGAGTACAGAGAGCGGGATGCCGAATCAGATCTCCTCCGCCAGCAGGTGGAGTCCACTCGTGAGGAGAACCAGCAGCTGTATAGTGAGAAAGACCAACAAGAAGAGCAGTTACGAGATGTCACAAGTCACCTGGAAAAGGAGAGGAAGGACAAGGCCAAGATTGACAGAGTTTTGGCGGACACTGCTTACTGTGTTCAGACTCTTGAGATGGCTCTCAGGGTAGATGTTCAGCAGGGTATGCTGTAATATTGTGTTCAGATTTTCAGATCTCAGGGTATGCTGTAATAATGTCAGATGGCTCTCAGGGTATTCAGACTCTCAGAGACTCTCTGATTCCATGCTGATTGGCAGGTGTTTATGTACAACCTCTGTACATGTACAACTTTTTCAGTTCTAAACATAATTTCAAATCTAACACTCAGAAACACTCAAAACTCTGACAACATAAGGGGCTTCTGATCACCTCAGCTCAGTATTTTAGCCATGACTGCAGTTTTTCAGACATGGTGCACTGATGTCTTTGTGTTGTTGGTGTTGTTATTGTTGTTCTCATGAATTGCTATTTTTGATTATAGCATTTGTTTCATAATAGGGGCCGTGGGGTAGCCTAATGGTTAAAGCGTTGGCTCGTCACTCCGAAGACCCGGGTTCGAATCCCCACATGGGCACAATGTGTGAAGCCCATTTCTGGTGTCCCCCGCCGTGATGTTGCTGGAATATTGCTAAAAGCGGCGTAAAACCAAACTCAGTCAGTCAGTCAGTCAGTTTCATAATAGTGATCTTAAATCCTATTTCGTCAATCTCCTAGAAAACTGATGCAGAGGAGGAGGAAGATGAGGAAGATTCTTTGAACGAGATGGAGAGCCGGGACCGCATGCTGGAGCAACTGCTCATCCTCCTTAACAGTGCTGCAGCAGTGGGCGCTGGCCCTCCCCCTGGGGAGCTGGGCAAGCAGTTCGAGGAGATGGAGAGAAGTGCCAGTAAAATACCTGGCAGTGGCAAGGGCATTAGGAGAGGGTAGGTTCTTGGAAATAGTGGCCTAACAATGGACAGACTCGTTGACTTGGTTGATACATGTCATCATATCCCTATTGCATAGATCGATGCTGTTGATCACTGGATTGTCTGGTCCAGACTCAATTATCTACAGACTGCAGTCATATAGCTGGAATATTCTTGTGTGCTGTATTGGACAACAAACAAACAAACAAGCAAACTCTTAATACAATACGTAAGAAATACACTTCGCTCTACCACAATGTATAGTGTAATAAAACACACTTTTGCCCTGAACTATTATAGTTAAAGCACGAGGACGCTTATGTCCCGAAAGTGCTTTAACGCTATAATAGTTCAGGGCAAAAGTGTGTTTTATTACACTATACATGGTGGTAGGGCTAAGTGTATTTCTTTCTAAGATGCCAAATTTAATACTTTCTAAAGATAATTACGATTAATTTAAGGCAGAAAACAAACAACGGTGTCGGTGACCTAAATTAAGAATCCTCGCGACAGGGCTAACTGGGCTTGTTCTATTGATGTGTCTGCCCCTACGCTAAGATCTAATGTTACCAGAAAAACAAATGATAACAGTTTGATGACGGTTTACGCTCGGATTAAATATCTTCTCTGAATTATTTTAATTACATCTGTCATTAACGTAAACCATATGGGACAATATGAACGTTGCATTTCTACTACCAGCGTAAGTTTAGATCAGTACATCCAGAGGAAGTTGAGTAGTCATAGCGACATTCCACAATTGCATTGTGGGAATGTAAACATTACTTAACGCTACTGTGTCGCTGAAAACTTGTGAGTCGAAATGACACATTTTAACAGTCGTGTAAAACATAAACGTAATGTTTCCACCAGTGATGTTAGCTGTGTGAAGCAACAGCAAACCAAGAAACTGGATGCAACGGTGTAGTTTACTGTAGGAGGCCGTACGATGACGATGGCGATGACAACTGACATGCATCGTGACGTCGCTTACATTGTGACGTAATGTAAAATGGTTCGATCACGAGGGGGCACACTAGAATGGCACAGTGACGGGAGAACGTCATTCAATTGTTACGTCATCAAAAAACTATACCTTATTGTCTGATAATGTATTTTTTTTCGATTGTTCTAACCGCTAGGCATCTTAGAAAGCAATTTACGACTACTTTGTACATATGATACATTACATTACAACTTATTTTGATGTTAAAACATTTGAATAATAACAGCAACTCTTTAAGTACCAGTTTATGCAGATTCTATAGTATACCTGGTTAGCTATAAACAGCAGAATCTTCACAGTGACCTTTAGTTTATATGTTTCTCCACTGCAATATGTTGTTGCTAATCCTGTTGCTTATAATTTTATGATTTCTTTGCTATAGCACATGGGTACAATGTCTGATGCTCATTTCTGGTGTCCCCCACCATGATATTGCTGGAATATTGATAAAACCAAACTCACCCACTCACTCACTCTTTGCTATAGTATCTTTTGAGTTGTATTTCTCTGAAATGTGAACTTTTCCTGGTGGATGAGGAAATATGAGCTTGTATTGTTTTTCTGTTTATTTCCAAATAAAAAGCACTGAACATGTCACATCCCAGTCATCCAATGTGAATCATTTCCTCTACATCTTTGTGGGATGTACAAGAATGTTTGTATTCCATTACAGACAGTTACCCTTGTCCCCAATCTCAACAGTGGAGGTACACTGCCTCACTACAACCTGGGTGACCTCGGCCTCATCCCCCGCCCCAAGCAGCTAATCCCCACCAACCTTGACAAGATGAGGGTATTGTCGGCCACCACCAGACTCGGCACCCTCAGGAAGGTCCTCACTCGCTCTGTGGGCATCCAGACAGTCAGCGTCCCCAAGGTGAGAACAGGAACCAATATTGAAACAATCTGAAACTTTGATGTTGGACATGAATGAATTAGGAGATAATCCTATTGTGTTTACATTTTGGAAGTGATTCTAGTTCGTTGAACGCTGCTAAATGTTTCATTTAAAACCTCACTCGTTAGCATACGCACCATGAAGAAAACGCGTTTTAAATATGCACTCATTACCCTTGCGTAGTGTTTTAACAGGCCTAGACTACGACGATTAGAAATTGGACATTATGACATTTACATACTCATACCTTCGATACTTAGAGTTACTTTGGGTGATTGTTCAGTCATTTCATGTTGGAACCAGGCTGGGTCAATGTTTTCCTCCATATCCGATCCAAACACAAAGAAATCACCAAGGTCAAACGTAACAGTTTCAGACGACATGTTTGTTTACCTTTGTGAGGGTTAATGAGGGTTAATGAGTGCATTGAACTGGCTCTCAGAAGTGGTTATTGAACATTTTTCACCTATAATTTTTTTAGTAACAGCCAATCAAAAATGAACATACTTAAATGGCATGGTAGATTATCATATATTTTAAACATCTGAACATCCCAATGAATAATTGAATCTTGACCAGATAATCCAGTGATAATCATCATGAGCATCAATCTCAGCAATTGGTACGTGATGACGTGTTAACCAAGTCAGCGAGCCTGACCAACCAAACCTGTAAGTCACCTCTTACAACAAGCATGGGTTGCTGAAGACCAATTCTAACCTTATCTCCATCGTCTCGGTATAAATGTGTTGGTAACAGTTAGAACTACTTTTTCAGGCCATGTTTTATGCTGACCAACTGCTCACTCGGGTACCAGTGTCCACTCAACATGTCGTCATGCAAGAGCTTCATTCATTGGATAAACCCAAGACACCAATCACTCTTGGACCAATTGCAACATCCAAGAGACTTTCCAGTAAAGTATACTAATGCTGTGTTTCTGACACTGAGCACATTGCATGGCTTGCCAATCAATGACATCTGTGATGAAATATACATCGTTCTGATCACGCAGCTCACTGTGAACACAGTCTTCACTTCTGGTATAGACATGCTATTCAGAGAATCGTGTCTATCCCATTTCACATTCACTTTCTACTTTGATGTCCAATTATCAAATAATTCTAATATGATTAAATTAAGTGAATTGAATGTACTGGTTACATGATTTTGTTAATTATCTTAATGGTTCCTATGTACTGTGTTCTTTGAATTTATTCAATCAAAAATTTAATTAGTTTTATGTTATTTATTCAGGTAAATTTGTGTTACAGGTAATAATATCTGTTTATATGACATTTTAATTTTAAGTCAAAATCATGAACTTAAAGCCTTCAAAATTTAAAATTCATATTTCACCCATCTAAATATAATTCCGTCCAGTTCATTGGCAAATATATTTATGTACATAACAATTATGTATCTTATTTGTTCAAAGAATTAGCATATCTGTACATTTGTTAATTTAAGTAGTGAAACAAAATATTGATCATTGTATAAATTTATGACCAAAGTGATATTTAAACTTGGATAGATTTTGTTAATGGTAAATCCATGTTTATATTGTTGTGTGTATATGTAAATTCTATTGATTGTGTGATACTGAAAGATATATTTTATTAATGCACTGGTTCTTTTCTTTCTTTTTTGAGGAATAAACAACCTGCATCTTAGTCACAGCATCTTTCTTATCTTTTCACCATTTTGAATATGTCATGTCACATGTCATGCATCATGTCACATGTCATGCATCATGTCATCGCACATCATGTCACGTCATGTTGCACATTGTCACACGTCATGTCATGCATCATGTCATATGTCATGTCACACGTCATGGCATGCATCATGTCACATGTCATGTTGCACATGATGTCACATGTCATGTCACCCATCTGAATGTCATGCAGGGTCAGTATGTAACGAGTTAGTTTACAGAACATTCCGCCATCACCTTTGAATACAGTTATGAGTGGAGGTGTAGTAAAGGGGTATACCACAAATCCACTCGCACAATTATATGGATTACACAACAATTTGACTACAGTTAAGGAAATTTATTTATACTATATACTAATAATAGTATTAATAGTAAACAAAATACTGGTTTACAAGTGTACATTATGTAGAGGACATTCGATCAACAATAATTATGGGCAAAGCAATATGGCTTGTGAATCATAGTCACCTCATTTCCAAGTCTGTGGCCATCATGATTTGGTAAGACTTCCACCCGAATCCCCCCTTAAATCAAATCATTTTAGAAGATCCACATCATGGACTGGCAATGTCCAAGTATACAAGACCAGCTCAACACTGAGCTTCTGCAACAATCATTCAAGTTTATAATGCTTTGTCTATAAGCTGGTCACAAAGCAACTGGCCTGAATCCATCAAGTCCCAAGCTGTACATTCAGTTATGTAACAATCCGTGCCCTCAAGTGAATGCCCCTCACCTCAAGCACCTCAATTCCATGTGATGTTTCAATTTTAATTGCATAAAAAAAGCTTACTCTTATTCATGTGGTTTTGAGAAAAACTGTCCCAAAATACTTGTCAGTCAGTGGATCATTTGAATCTTGGATGAAAATTCAATGTCTGCTGATGGTTTAGCGAATGATGTCTGGTGAGGGGTGAGAAATTCTTGTGAATTTTAATTTCTATGTGACTACTTGCCTGGGATGTAAAGGTACAGATGTAGTAACAAACGATGAGACGAAGCAGAGCAATGCCGAGTCATATTCTTGCAACTATTCCTCTTTATCCCATTAAGGTACTGTCCTTAGGCTCATGCTGTTGATCACTGGATTGTCTGGTCCAGACTCGATTATTTACAGACCGCCGCCATATAGCTGGAATATTGCTGAGTGCGGCGTAAAACTAAACTCACTCACACACTGTCCTTAGGCCTTTATCATTCTTGGAGCACATCAAAATACATGCACTCAAGTCTCACAAAACATACACCCTTATGTATATACTGTTATCAGTTTGCATGAACATTTTAAGTAAACAACACTTTTCAGCTTCCACACACACACAACCAGGGTACACATAAAGCTTAAGGCTCTTGCAGTTTAAAACAGCAGTGTTGTGTAACATGTACTTGTGTATTGGTTGAAGTACAATAAGATATACTTGTACTGCATGGATACCAAAGAATGAACACTGATTTTATCAGATATCAGCTTGAACAGTACCCTAACTTAGATCACCTCTTGGGATTTCAAGTGTTCCAGATAAACAGTACAAGTTTAACATCAGTGTAATGTTTGCTGGATCATTTTTTGGCAAGTGATCTTCGATGTGGGTTAGTTCTAGTGAAGAGCTACTCGTCAGTCTGGCTGATAATTGTAGTTATTTGGAACACTGGGGTTTGAAACAATACATAGGGTAAGAAAATGTTAAAGATACTTTGAAGAAATACAGACATGAGAAAATAGTTAAAACCTTTCTAGTGGTCATCGCATGTCTTAGAGGCACAATGAATGACAAAAACTTGAAGAACATGCAGTGATCAATAATTTGTTCAAAAAGAGCTTGACTTGATAAGTCCATGAAGATATGTGTAAAACACTAGGGAAGAGGCTGCTCCTTTCTATGAGTGAGTGAGTGAGTTTAGTTTTACGCCACACTCAGCAATATTACAACTATATGGCGGCGGTCTGTAAATAATCGAGTCTGGACCAGACAATCCAGTGATCAACAGCTCATGAGCATCAATCTGCGCAATTGGGAACCGCCTTTCTATGAGATCATTAAGAAGTGGGCAGCAGAGTAAAAATGAAGCAGAGAGGCTTGAAGATGACCCCTGTCACATCAGTGAGGTGAGGTGAGATGAAATGGGGTTTAACGTCGTGCTTGAGAATATTTCGGTCATATGATGACATGCATGAGTGTGTATGTGTATGTGCGGCTGCATGTACTAGCCCAGATTGGGTCTGGTTTTATAGTGCTAGCCCACTGAGATACCATGCCGCAGTGAAGCATGAATACCCCACTCAGACACATTATACTGACTCCGAGCCGACCAGTCCTTGTTGTACCCATTAATGCCGAGCGCCAGGCAGGGACCAACAAGTACCATATTTTAACGTCTTTTGGTATGACGCGGTCGGGGATCGAACCCGCGATCTTCCGCTCTCCGGGTGGACGCTCTAACCACACCGGAGGCGGTCTGTCACATCAGTGACGACAGAATATGGCGATGACCAACCAGTATATGACTGAATGTCATGTTGCTAGTTCCGTACACATTTCCCATTAGAGAGTACATTCCATTATCACAGACAGGCAAGGAAGAAGTATTTGCTCATTGGGTTCTAAAGCTTTTGACTTTTTATCGAAATTGAACCAGTGGCATACCTCGTCATTATCTCTGTTTGACGCTGATCAAGAAAGGTTTTTGGCAATGATTCTTAACTAGATGAAACCTTTGTCTACCACTGAGTACAAACAACAATTTCAAACCGTGGAAGCACAGGATATCACCACAACAAAAGAAAACAAAGATGGTCCCATCATCTGCCAAGGTTATGACCTTCATGTTCTTGGATGCAGAGGCCGTCATCGTGCTGAACAATCACAATAAACGGAGCATATTTTGATGATGCATGTTTGAGGCAATTACAGGATGAAATAAAGAGATGTGGGAAGCTGAGAAAATGAGTGCACTTCCATCACCACAATGCCTTACTACGTAAATCATCAGCCCAAGGCTACAATCCACATGTGCGGCCGTGATCTCTTTCAGTTTGTTTATTCTGATGGAGCTCTGTGAGAATTCCACCTGTTATCCAAAATGGCATCATAGCAGCCGTTGAGAACGTTTTGGACAGTCAAGACGTAAACTTAAACAAAACTGGGATAAATCCCTCCATCTTTGGACAAAGTAAATTAATCTGGTAGCGTATAATGTTGAACGATATATTATTTTAATGTCTTCAGGTCAAGTTTACCAAGGTGAGGCTCCACACCTATCAATCACCATATCACGATGCATTGATGTATGTTATAACCTTCTTATTGTGTTCTCTTCTAAAATTATAGCAGGCTCAAAATGGACACCGTTGCCAGATTGAACTTTGGTACCAACTTGGTCAGCATCATTTCAGTTTTCTCTGAATATTGAGTTGTGAAAATAATGATAAATGAACAGAGCACATCCTCATCCTCACATAAGAAAGATAATTTGGATCAAAACCTATTTTGTTACAGGTAGCAGCTACTTATGAAGCACTGAAAGAAAATCATCAACCATCCCATCTGAGGCCCAGGAACCTGGTACGACAGATACACCATAGTTGAAGCAGATTTCATTGTAATAGGGTACCAGTCAGGGGTCTGTGCTCAATTGGTACACCAAATTTTCCAACATATCTTGATCCTTTTTTTCACCATAATCTCCCTCTGGATGAAGTGCTTCGATCTATGTCCTCTGGTATCCTTCCAATGTCAGCCATGCTTGAAATCAAGCTATCTATGTTCCCTATCTCATTTCACAATATTTTTTCCACCAAACACGAAAACGAATGTCGCACAAAAAGTCAAGTTATCAAAAGCTTTCATTTCAAGCTGACATGGTTATGATGGAAAAGAAATGACACATCCACTGATAGTTATAACAGTTAGTTTTTACAATTAGTGAATGAAAGGTTGAGCAGGAGGAATCATTTTGAGCACTTGGCATTGTACAAAATCTACTGTCAAAACGATAGAAATATATTCTATTCAAGGTGTGTCATTACATGTGTGAACAAGAAGAATATTTTGACCCATCTTTAAAATCAGTTCACCAACAACTTCATCTTGATGCAACAGAGTTACCTGATGATACAAGAACAGTTTCCACTCTTGGCAAACCAGGCTGAAGTTCTGAGTAATGCTTTGGCAGGCCTGACAATTCTGTCCAACAAAATTAAAAATATTCCAAAATTGACATCTTGTGTATAAACAACATGGTTATTGCTGTGCAGATTTACAGAGCAAATGACAACTGGACATCAAAATATAATTTCCTGATTTTTAATGTTTCTAATTAAGGAGCTCAAATGTTGTACTACAACACAGGTGTCTGTGAGCCAGGGTATGTCAAACATTCCTTCCAGTAACTTGATCACAACTTTGACTGCGAGTCACCATTTTGTTTGAACCAGATGCAGATAATATAATAGATGAATCTAATTGGTCCAAAGGTGGGAAATAAGACATACAACTAATAGCCACTGGTGGCCCTTACTACCATAACATTTACGCCAACGTCGTCAAAAGTGGAAACGTTTATAATTAGTTATCTCCCTTCCCTCAGTAAGATTCCATGAACTTGACAATAGGTAATTTTTAGCTTGCTTCCTTCCTTTACATTGAGACTGATAATTGATAACGTTAAATTCAACGTTTGAATCACTTAGTTTACTTAATAACTCATACTGTGTATTAGAGTCATTATTGTTTTTCCAAGTTCCTTTTGCGTAGGGGCGGTGGGGTAGCCTCGTGGTTAAAGCGTTGGCTCGTCACGCCGAAGACCCGGGTTCGAATCCCCACATGGGTACAATCTGTGAAGCCCATTTCTGGTGTCCCCCGCTGTGATGTTGCTAGAATATTGCTAAAAGCGGTGTAAAACCAAACTCAGTCAGTCAGTCCTTTTGTGTAATAGCATTATCAGTGGTTTGAAACCATACCTAATCGCATAATCTCATGTTGATAATAATGGAGCACGCTTCAGGAACCAGGTCACCCTCATATGAAGAATTTCAAACCCTGCTTTTCAAGTCAAAGCAGAACCATTGATGAAGCAGCATCATGCAAAACCAATGTTTACAGTGTTAACCTGATTAAAATCAGGGTGCCGTTGTACAAAACAACCTTAGCGCTAAGACTACCTTAAGTCTATGTTAAAGTATGGGAGTTACGGTCACCTTAGCGCTAAGATTGCTTTGTACAATGACACCCTGATTAAAAACAGGGGAGATTCTTGTTTAGTTTACACGCAAACCAATAGATGTAGGATATCTGCAAGTCTACCAGACTTATTCAACTCTTTCTTTGATTTTACATCAGCTAAAGTCAGAACAAAAAACCCCGTCGGCATTGTGTAATTAATACACTAATTCACCAAATTTATACTTAACAGTGGAAATAACAAAAACACATTATGCGATCACTATTTTCTCATAAAATACCTTAAATCTCATGAATGTTTTTAAATTAAATTTTAATTTTTTTCCAATTTTAGTCACAAGAAAATAATTTTCATAATTAATGTACATTTTTTATTTCTAATATACAGCAATTTCCTTCAATGACATCTCGCAATCAGTTTGAAAAGTAGCGACACCAATACTGACCCTTAACACCCCTGGGGTCAGCTGGCATTGATGGCCAGTAGATATTTCTCAGCTCCTCATATGAGAAGTATGTATACTCAACAAAAAAAGTTAAGGAATTATCAATATTTGAGTATCTAAGGGTTCATATTATGATCCATATAATACTTAAATATTGAATATTGGGGTGGCCCTGAACTTTTTTAGTTGAGTATATTTGACACAAGTCGTCCATGTTGTCTAGTCAATAAGGCGGAAATAAGACTTGTTATTACATAGATGTATTTCTTGTGGAAACCATGGGAACACTTACAATGTTGTAGAAAACACAGAAATAAATATTGAAAGAACAAATTTTGTTTGTATTTTATTGACGGAACAATGTTTCAGAGGTTGATATCACAATCAGTCATTTTGTTCCTTGAGTCACAGAGAGAACTTGCTTCAAGGGAAGAGCTTAACATGTCTGTTACAACCTTCTATCAAACCATACAATCATATATACTATCCATCAAAAGTTTAGACTCACTAGTGTAAATGTAGCCGCTTACTTCAGTCAACTGTTCTAAACTAGATTTTGCGAAAATATTCCATACTGTTTAAAGATACCGTTTACGCATGAACTGATGTATTGTAAAACATATTCGTAACATTGAACATATTTTTGTCATGAGTTCAATAAATGATAAAACACAGTGAAAACTGACGAATTCTAACCAAAACGCAGCTGTTCACATGCACGATATTTGCACATGCTTTTCAGCAATTTGATGCATGATCCTTGTGCAATTCATCTGCATAAGGTTTTCAGTTGGTTCCCCCAAGATAGTGCAGAAATTAATCTCCGATGTAACCATGTATAGACACTGAGACCCCGGATATCCGGACGCATTCGTTTTTACATAAATCATCCGGATAACTGAATAGCCGGATATCTGGATTTCTACTATCATGGCTTACCGTATACTACCATCTATATGCCGAATTTTGAGGATAAAAAAAGCAGTGTGTAGAAGGGGGTCGTCTTATCTTCATGAGTTATGCTTTCGTCAAATTTTTTACCAGGGGTAAGAAAACAACATCGCATCACTTCGCGTGAACAAACAACAGAAGACAACTTTGTCAGTAAAGACGTCAAATTTGCAATTAACATCACTAGACAAGATTATTTACCTTTTAAGTTCTAAGTTGTTTTTGTCTTGTGTCAAAACACGTGGGACAATCGCGCTTCACTTCACACGGTCAGCGGAAGATCAAAGCTTCGTGCGGATAAGTGAGTCAAATTTGTGTTGATTTAACCGGTTGGTTTGTAAAATTTACCGTCCGGGAACGGAAACCGCATATCCGTTATAGACAGTCACTTTTATAACGTAAGAGATTGTTTTTTTTATGAAATTTGACCGGAAGGCGAGGTTTCCGGATATTTGGGGTCCGGGTATCTGGGATCTCACTGTATACAAATATATAATGAGTGCTTTAAGTGAGTCTAAACTTTTGATGGGTAGTATACAAGTCACTGATCAAACAACTAATACAACAGTATAGGGATTTATACTGACACTTTAACAGCCATTGCAGACATGGCCTCAGCAAAAGTATCGACAAAAGACATAGTGGTCTCACTTGCAATGTATATCTATATTTATGATCATGATTATATGTGTTGGAATAAATAGATTCTTCAATAATCATGGTAATCACAGTAATTTGTCTATCAAGGTTGGGGTGGGTACAATATGCATTGGTATTCTCAAACACACACATGAATATGCAAGACACAAATACACTGTAATGACTGTTTATTCAAAACTGGATAATGGATAACTTTTGGTGAGGAGCATATTTTAAGTTTTGAGAAGGTAGTCCAATAATTAATATCATTGATAACCAGGATAGCATGGTGGTTGTCCGATTAGTTGATATAATCGAAGATTGGTCGCAATGACTAAACGACCAAGCATTCGATCATGTTTTCTAATAATCGAACACAAACAATATTGGAACACTTGTTTGCATTTTTCACAAGGTTGGTTTTGTCTGTTACATTTCATAAGCACCACAAGCTTGTTCCTTGTCATGACTGAATTTATCTTAAAAACTCCAGGACATTTATGTTCCTAACATACTAGTCATCTTTTAAGATGTGAAATTTGTAATGCATTTTGTGCAATTTGCAGAAAAACCGAACGAACTACATGTTTTTCTATATTTTTTGTGCATCAACAAACATAACCAAGAGAATTTGATAAATTACGCTAACCAATTATTTTCGATGGCTGATCGGTTGTAATGAACCAATCATCAATTGTGAGATTTTAACCAATTCCCAACATTTGTTAGCATACGACAAATGTAATACCTAAACAATTTATTCATGTTAATACATACTTGTTCCATCTTGAAGGAAATAATAACTACAGACAAAGCAGGCTTTGAAAACTTGCTGATATCTTCAAAAATCCATTCAAAATCCAAACTTAGTAAACTTAGGCTCAGTATTATTCGTTCCACTGCTATACTAAGTCTCACAAACCCAAGTAGAAGGTCATGTCAGCAAACCTTTGCGCGACCTATAACCGTCCAATCAAATGCGAGACGGCCGAACGGATTTAACCAATCAGACAACGACTACTTGTTAGGGTTCAGCGGGACTTACAAAACGGTTTTTGAATTGTCTCTTCCCTGGTCGCTGACACTGATCTATCAACAAACAAAATCTGCATAAAACACAGATATTTGACTTGCAGTATATACACTTATGGGTTTCTGATGACATGGTTACTATTCAGAACAATATAATTTAATCATAAACATGAAAAGAGAAAATATCTCACCCTTTTTCAGGTCGTTTCATGTTAAGAGATTTTTTCAGAGCAATCAAAACATTTCGGGGGTTTTAAAAAGAAATATCGATTTAGTACTAGTTTTTAGTTAGGACTTTAACCTTTAACCTAGTTAACCTTTAACCTTCTAGCGCTTCACAGGCAGCTTGGGTTATCCAGGGTAATAATAATCAGATTGTTTGGGCGCATCGAGCATGCATTGTGCATGGAGAAATGCGCATAATAAATGGACTATTATCATTATTAATATTATTATTAAGATAACATGACATGACCTTCCATGATTGGATTGTGACATATTCCTCAAGCGATTCAAAAATCGACAGTCAGTAACTCCCATACTTTAACATAGACAGAACTGTCAGTTTACATCGATGAGGTGACACTTTACCACATTGATGAGGTGACCCTTTACCACTCGGCCACCCCACCGCCCCTCTGCTGATTTAATGAGATTGGGATGTCAGCATACAGTTTAGAAAAAAAAATGTACTTTTATGGCACTGGCAAGAACCAAAATTGAAATAAGTCTGTGTAACAGTAGTCTCAAAGAAAACCAAGAACCAATGTGCAGTGTACCCATTCCTGTCTGAACACCATGCACAATCCAACAAAATCAGCCATATTAATAATATCTCTGAGAATCTCTCTCATTCCAAGAATCTTTCTCATTCCAAGAATCTCTGTCATTCCGAGAATTTCTCTGATTCCAGGAATTTCTTTCATTCCAAGATTCTCTCTCATTTCCATAATCTCTCCCATGCCAAGAATCTCTGTCATTCCGATGACCTCTCCGATAATCCTTGGAATATTTTGTCTTGGACAGTTTCTTCATTTTGGTCATATATTTGGAAAGGCCTTCATCTTTGACATGCAAGGGCCTAGATATCCTAATGTCAAACTCAATGTCATGTTTGTCTTCGATGTGTGTTATCAGTGTTTCCATGGCATCTTTGATGGCGCCATCTATGTCACCATATTCCTCGTTTGTGAAATCGTCCCACACGTATTCGCCTGCTTCCTCGTCCTCAGGTGGACAGTCTATTCCGATGGCAAGACTGGTCATTTCCTGAAACACAACAACCGTGAAAACAAACAACCAAACAAACAACCAAAAGACAGTGAGATGCATCTCGTTCTGGATACTCTCAAAGGCATGAAATGATAGGTATTCAGCAATACACTTGTCAAATTATACCTATTACAATATTTTTGTGTAAAAATATCAAGGCTCGTATATAGGTGGACATAGGTGGATCCAGAGGGGAGGTGCAGGGGTGCGCACACCCCCTTTTGTCCTGAAAGATTATTAAATGACCATTAAAACTCTCGGGAAAATGAAGTGTGCACCCCCACTTTCTCGAGGGTGTGCACCCCTCCTTTCTCAAAAAGCTGTACCCGTCCCTGGTGGAACACTAAAAAACATAAAGCCTTTTCAAGGCATCCATCTGCAATGTTCAAGGATTCTTTAGTTGGGTTATTAGCTTTAGTTTGTCAAATATAGTTTAAATACAACAAACAATAATTTAGTCATCAGTGAGTGAGTGAGTTTGGTTTTACGCCGCTTTTAGCATTACTCCAGCAACATCACGGCAGGGGAAACCAGAAATGAGCTTCACACATTGTACCCAGTGGGGAATCGAACCCAGGTCTTCGGCGTGACGAGCCAACGCTTTACCCACTAGGCTACCCCGCCCCCTTTAGACATCAGACGAAAAACTAGTAGTATGAACAAAACTATTTTAAAGCAGATATATTTCACAACCAACAAACATAAATTATTAATGCAGGCTATTGCAAATGTCTTCCAGTGAATGTCAATGATTATCACTACCTGTTATTATCTGAACATCCGTTCATGTCTTACTTATGTGAAAATACTTCTGGATTTCAAAATTAAAACACAATACTTACATCTGATTTGAGTGTCTCCATCGTGGATGCCACGCCACTGTGGCTGAAACATCAACACATTCCCTATAATAATAATAATACACATTCATAAAGCGCAGCAATTCACAAATATGATGTGCTTTGTGTACTAGCTGAGAGTTCATCGCTGGAACTTGTAGTCTTTTAAGTCTCGAGATTGTAAATCTTTCGATCGTAAATTACAATCGTGATCTTCTGCGCGAAAGTTAGAAATAATGAGTTTACATTATTATGTAATGCCGAGAAGACCTTACTTCTGCCTTCTCGGCAACCCTGACGGTGAAAATCAAGGGGAGACTCTGGGAAGGTATTGCAGAGACGTGAGTGACTTATCAATAATTTCTGTTTGTTTACATAATATATAATGTGACTTGCGCTGCCAAAATTAATAACTACAACAAACGCTGCCATCTTGTTCATACACAACAATCGATCGTAAGTAAGTCACAGACAGTCATAAGCAACTTAAGGAAGTGATTTTAACTTTCAACTAATGAACTATTGTAACTTACAATCGCTTTGAGGAACGGTGGAGTGCTTGTAAGTTAAAGTTACAATTTGATTGTAGTGGTTTACAGGGCCCTGTTCAAACAAGTACAGTCATCCCTCGCAATAATGCTCTTCGTGATACCGTGGTTTCAGGTAAACCATGGGGTAATCTGTGACTCCCATAACAAGGCGATTATAATCTTCATGTCATCGGTAATAGCAGATCACCAAATCCGCTGTTGTGCTCAAGTTAATGGTGTTAGAAACTACCGAAATTCAGTGAGGATCACGATAAATAAGTTTCCATTTTACACATCCTCATATTAAGGGTTTTCAGATGCTTTAGAAACATTCGTGGGGTTCATTATTAATTACACGAACAGCGGAACATCGTACTAACTTATAAAAGACAACTCTATCATAAAGACATAACAATGTTTGCTGTGATGCAACACACCGCATTATAGGGTGAGCAAACACTGCCATCCGAAAACGTATGATGTCAGAAAACAAATGACAAAACAATTTTGTATGTCTTTAGTTCTGTTCTAACTATGTGATCAGTGAATGATGACCCTTTGTACTGTATTTCAGTTATATCACAGTCTGGTATCTAAACATAAATCTTTGGTAATTAAGAAAACTGCTCTTCACTATTGACAAATAGGATTAGTCATCAAATTGTACAATGTGTCTCCTGTTCTTATATTCTATTGACCATTTTGACCACTGACTAGCCTCTTACCTGTCTATGTCCACTTTGGAGATGTCAAACTCCCCTTTGGCCATATCTGGCAGTGCATGTACCAAATACACATTCTCCGCTTTCACGTCAAAGAAGCGAGCTGGAACAGCAGAATTTTCATAGATTGTAAGAGTTGAAAATACACACTGAGTCACACATGATAAGTTATTATAACATTCCTCCAATCTTTGATGGTATATCATCATCATCATCATCATCATCTTGTCTGCTCAAAACTGGATTATTTACAGAGTACCACCAAAAATGCTTCAATATTGCTGAGTGCGGCTTTTAACAACAAGCATGCAGCAGCAGCAGCATTATGATCCTCCTCCACTTGATAGATACTAGTATCAGCTCAAAAGCAGAATAGTATTCCCCAACCCGTGTACGCTTTCTAATTATCTGAACTCCCTGGGGAGTATATGCCCAAGCTGCCAAGTGTGACGCTAGAAAGTTCTAACATCAACCTAACATATCAAGTATCCAATCCCTGCTTGAGGTACTAAGTCACTTGCCCAAGGTGACAATACAAGTCTTGGCACCTATATGGGTGAAGGTATGTATTCATGTTTCCATGATTTGGTCATCTACTGGTAGTGGTGTCGTGTGGTATTGTGCATAGCGCTCAGGTCACAATCAGTTGAAGTTAAGCAACGTTGAGCGTGGAGAGTCCTTGGATGGGTGACCGTGTGTGACAGCTTGACTCCTGAGAGTTTCTAGGACTTCAGTCCTGCCCCACAACAAAGCACATGTGATACATGTGGTCTCACCTTAGGCAAGTGAGTTTGCTCAAAATTGCCTCTGTTCACCCAGCAGAAAATGGGTACCCGGTGAAATAAGTTGTGAGACTATTAACCTTCTAGCGTCTAACAGGCAGCTTGGGTTATCCGGGGTAATAATGATCAGATTGTGCGCTTTGAGCAGGATATCTAGCCTGGAAAAGGCACATTATAAATATTCTCATTATTATTATAAATATTCTCATTATTATAAATATTCTCATTACTGGTGCTTGAGGCCGTTGTTTTGAGAGCACATGGTGACTGTACAGTAGTGTTGGGAATTGGTTAAAATCCCATAATTGATGATTGGTTCATTACAACCGATCAATCATCGAAAATAATTGGCTAGCGTCATTTATGAAATTTACCTGGTTATTTTCGTTTGCGCAAAAACAAAAAGAAAAAAAATGTACTTCTTTGATTTTTATGTTGCAAATAGCACATCTTTAAAAGATGACTAGTATGTTAGAAACATTAATTTCTTGGAGTCTTTAAGATAAACTCAATCATGACTTGGAACGAGCTTGTAGTGCTTATGAAATGTAACAGACAAAACCAAACTTGTGAAATATCTTGTTAATGCAAAAAGTTTTCCTGAATTGTTTGTGTTTGATTATGAGAAAACATGGTCGATTGCTTGGTCGTTTAGTCACTGCGACCAATCTTTGATTATTTCAATTAATCGGATCCCCACTACTGTACAGTACACTAGTGACAACACTACAATAACACTATTTTTGGTTCACAGGCTGAATAAAATCTTATCAGAAGCAGGATAGTGTGTACGCACATAGAGTGAGTTAGTTTAGTTTTTACACTGCTTTTAGCAATATTCCAGCAATATCACGGCGGGGGACACCAGAAATGGGCTTCACACATTGTACCCATGTGGGGTATCGAACCCAGATCTTCGATGTGACGAGCAAATGCCTTAACCACTAGGCTACCCCGCCACCCCCTACAGACCTAGAGCTTGCTACCATGCTGCTTTAGACCACTTCCCCAGTCCACCTTAAACATACCCTACCACAACCATCATAACATGGTTTCATAGTTTCATTTCGGAGATGATGTTGCTGTCTTCTTTTTTTACTTTCACAATTCAAGAACAGAGGTTTGTCTACACCATACCACCTGGTTAACCAAATGGATATCGAGACAAACCAAAATGTTCCAAGTAACTATGGTAACAAGTGTCTTCTGTAGTCAAAAACTCACTTGATTTTACTACACTTGCTCCATTGATATTCACTGGCAACCGTGGTTTGAGAAGATGCAACTCTGTGTAGTTGCCAATGTGCGCTGAAGCAGTGAATCCGGCTGTGTTGTTGAACATGTGTGCCGTCCATCGCAGTCGCATCTTCTTCGCCAGAACATTCACAAACTGCATTCCAACACTGTAACGACTTGACTGCATTTCTGGGTTGCCCAGACCAACAATCTGAAAAAAATGATTCTGTGTCATAGCGAGTGGTCTTTGGATTAATTGGGTGATTGATATTAGGAGATCATATCACACTGTCTGGATAGGAAGCAACCATCCAGTCACCATGGTCACCAAGCCTTACCACCTGATACAATAATTTCATCAATCTTTACTGTTTGTATTCGATACAGCTACATTTTATATCCAGAATCCCAATGTTTTTCCAGCATCTGATAAAACAGTTACAGGTTCCATAAACATTTCGAAAAATCCAGAAATATCGCTTTTTTCTGATAAATGAATTTTGAACTTTGACCTTCAGGATCACGGAAAAAATCTCTCGGTTACAAAGTCAACTGTTCCGATTACCAACAGAGAGTGATGTGTTGGCGCCTACATTGCAGTACTTCAGTAGCTTACAAAAAGACAGAAACATTAGCATTAGGTAGACACAAATAATACTAATACCACCAACATTAACGCATTTTTGTCAATGTCATTTCAGAGATGGTCCAGCTACCGACCGGTGCATGCATGAATGTTGAATAATGCCTATAATGAACCGCTCCCGACAAAATTTTATATTCCATATCTATAAATCTCCTACACATTGTTGTAATTCAGAACAAATTCAAAAGAAAGGGTTACCAGAAATTTGTTTGTGAGCGATCTTGTCTCTCCAACTTCTGCCTCCGAGTCGGATTCGGACTCGTCATCTCGAGATGTCAACTGCGGATTACTGGTGCTGGTACAGAATCTGGCTGCAACAACCCGGTTAAGACTTCGTCGGATGCACGACCTCTTCGCCAAAATACGGGTTTCAACTGTAAAAGACCTGATTACGCCAGAAATACAAGAACTTAGAACAACTGTAAGATTCATGATGAAACGATCACCATGTGCATTTAAGACCCAACACGAATGCAACAGAAATTCTAATTGGACCGCACGGAATTCTTTATTTGTAACACGTTTTCTGATTGGTCAATCCTGTTATGGAAATAGAAAAGATCGAAATCCCCAAATCTAAAAATAAATTGCGTACGTGAACTTCCTGTGGCTATAAATAACAAGCAGCATGGCGTCGGGAGTCTTGGCAGGAAGATTAGCTATCGTGACTGGTATCTGGAAATTTTGGAACATTTTAGTTCTATTTTTATTCTAAAGTTGTTTTCTAAAGCTACAAAAGTTTATGCATCCGTATTTATGAATGCTTCCGACATTATCATGAATTTATCGTCGAAAACATTTCCTGTGTTATCAGCATTGGGTGTCGTCTGTTTTTCGACTCAAATGACATTGGCCGTCTTTGACCTCCACCCGATTTGATCGAATGAGGCGTGTCAGCGTGTCAAGTGTCCTCTGATCTCAGCGTTTTCCTTCACGACAGTGTTATCAAACAGTGTTGCAAACTTGAGACCAAACGTCACTGTGTGTTTTGAGTGTTTTGAAAACTTCTTTTAAACCCCACAAAATAAAAAAAAGTGATGTTGATATTATCGACCAGAAAACTCTTTTTACGTCTTTTCACATAGATTGAGCTCAGACCATGTCAAATATATTCCAGTTTTAGTCTCAGTAGTAGCTTTAAGTGCATGTTACCCTGAAATACAGTATCAGCATACGTTCTAAGGAAGTGAGTGACGTATCAATGTGTTATTACATATCATCAGCTCCTTGGTTGGCAACAGTCCCATCAAGAGCAATGACAGCTATTATCAATGATAATAGTTTTGTTTGTTCTGCGCTTTTTCAGCTTGGTCGTTTGTGCTCTAATGTTCAACTAGTTTGTGTGGGTTTGATCAATTTCAGTCTGTGAAAATCTCAAGTGTTTATGTTGACCCATAAAAAACTTTGCATCAAAACTCCATTGTCAGGTATTCCTTTGTTTCCATGGTTACAGGAGGTGGAAGCGGCATAGGTAAAGCAATATGCCAGGTGTTTGCTCGAGAAGGGGCTATACTGGCGGTGGTGGACATCGACAAGTCCAATGCTGAGGCAACTGTGTCAGGGCTTCCACAAGGCAGTGAGTAGCTCATGTTACAAGGATTGTACATGGTTTTCCAGACATCTTGGTATTCAGCCAATAGTAGCAGATAACTTCCTGTCATTGTAACACCCAACAGTATATCATTCCATCAGCATCAGCAGTGTAGGAAAGATGTAGAAGATCTAGCCTGTCCACAGGACTGGCAGGTCAAATTTTTTACCAGTCCTGCCAAAATCTAGCCTGTCCTCCAAATATAAATAAAACACCTTCGGCAGTAAATATTCAAAAAGGTTATAATCATTATATATATGTCATTGGTTTGCTAAAATTGACCCGACATGAGGATGGACTAGATATTTTTTTAACCCGTCCTCCACAAAATTCATCCGTCTCGGACGTTGGGACGGGCTATCTTTCCTACACTGGCATCAGTAAAAGACCCCTATCTGTATGGCATCACCATCTCCAAATATCCCAACCAGTAAAATATCTGTCAGTAAAATGTCCCCATCAGTAAAACATTTCCATCAGTAAAATATCTCACTGAGTAAAATATCCCCATCAGTAAAATATTCCATTGAATAAAATGTCCCCATCAGTAACATATCCCACTGAGTAAAACATCCCCCATCAATAAAATTTCTCACTGAGTAAAATGTCCCCATCAGTAAAATATCCCACTGAGTAAAACATCCCCATCAGTAAAATATCCCACTGAGTAAAACATCCCCATCAGTAAAATATCTGTCAGTAAAACATCCCCATCTGTAAAATATCTGTCAGTAAAACATCCCCATCTGTAAAATATCTGTCAGTAAAACATCCCCATCTGTAAAATATCTCTGAGTAAAACATCCCCATCAGTAAAATATCCCACTGAGTAAAACATCCCCATCAGTAAAATATCCCACTGAGTAAAACATCCCCATCTGTAAAATATCTGTCAGTAAAACATCCCCATCTGTAAAATATCTGTCAGTAAAACATCCCCATCTGTAAAATATCTGTCAGTAAAACATCCCCATCAGTAAAATATCTGTCAGTAAAACATCCCCATCTGTAAAATATCTGTCAGTAAAACATTCCCATCGACAACCGACAACCCTCTATCAGTGAATGTAGAGCACTGTAAGTGGACACTTTCACTGGTAAAACCTATTTGTGATCAATACAAAACAGACTCTGAGTATCTGTCAAACAAAACATTGTCAAACCAAGCAGGTTAGTTTGTGTTTCTGTTTCATAAACCATATATATGCTACATCTGTTATCAGGCTCATGTTTACTGATTGTCTGAAAACAGAACTAGCAGGGTTGGTGTTGTATTGTTGCTCTGAATGCTTTTACTGATAGCATTTTCTTGTCTGCATATATATTATTCTTAATGAGGAATTGAGCAGTTTGTGTAATGTGTAGTTATTATTGTTGCCATACTCTAGGGTTGTTATGATTTACTTGCATATTCAGTGAATATGGACCTTATTAACACGGTCAACCTGAACAAAACATGTCAAAGAATTAATTTTTTTATTGTTTCATTGAATATAGGGAATAATACATCAGCTACTGACCGCCTCCGTGGTGTAGTTGTTAGAGCGTCCGCCCGGAGTGCGGAAGGTCGCGGGTTCGATCCCCGACCGCGTCATACCAAAAGACGTTAAAATATGGTACTTGTTGGTCCCTGCTTCGGCATTAATGGGTACAATAAGGACTGGTCAGCTTGGAGTCAGTATAATGTGTCTGAGTGGGGTATTCATGCTTCACTGCGGCATGGTATCTCAGTGGGCTAGCGCTATAAAACCAGCTTCAGTATGGGCTAGTACAAGCAGCCGCACATACACATACACATGCATGCACGTCGTCATATGAGCGAAATATTCTCAAGCACAACGTTAAACCTAATTCCACCACCACCACCACCACATCCACTACTGACCTGTTATGGTATTCATTTCCCATTGTTCATCATAACTATTATATTTGCCTTATAGTTGATTCGTTGAAGCCCTTCATATACACTACTGACCTGAGAATTGACCCGTATTATCATGTATGAGTGCTGCCCACTGGCACTTGCCAATATAGCGAAGGGGTCCCAGGTTGTCTGCGATCAAGTGTAGTGCGATGGGTGAAGCAAGGTGCAAGGCATGTGCAGCTACGCGAGGAATCAATTTCAACGTCATGCAATGCATGTGCACTAGCCTACATCTGCTCCATCTTGAATATAGTTGCAATTGGTTTGACCTTTCACAAAGTTCCTTGTCTCTTCCAGACCAGAAGCACCAGGCCTTTACCGCCGACATTGCCTCCTCTGCAGATGTTAACGCCATGATGGCACAAATCAAGAACCAGTTTTCGGTGCTGCCATCAGTGGCTGTAAACTCTGCTGGAATAACACGAGACAACTTCCTCATGAAAATGGATGAGAAAAATTTCGACAAGGTCATAGATGTCAATTTGAAGGTTTGTAGATGAATTTGGAATCAAAATATTTTTTGATTTTAAAGAAAGCCAAAAATGAAGAAAAGTTAAAAAATCATTCAATTTAGTCTTGGTTTGAATGAGAATGCTGAAAGTAGTGTTGTAATCAGGTTATGTTTGTGTGTGAGTCGAATCTGTTAGAATTTACTGTGGAATGTCAACATCTCAAAACAAGTGAGTTGTGTGGTAAGGGTTACTCTGTGACTGTCATGTTTCTTTTCTCCCTCCCCCTCCCCCCACAGCTGTTTCTTGGACAGTTTATGATGCTTATTTCTCCCTCACCAGGGCATGATGGAGGGAAGGTGGCAATGGTTCTATCATGGTGAACCAGCATCGGCAAGGTCGGCAGATGCATGATGGAGGGGAAGGTGGACAATGGTTCTATCATCAATATATCCAGCATCGTTGGCAAGGTAACCATGGCATGGCTTCTGTTAAAGATGGGTAATATTGGGTGAAGGCTAGATGTATTTCCTCATGCTTCTGTTAAAGATGGGTAATATTGGGTGAAGTCTAGATGTATATCCCATGTTTCTGTAAAAGATGGGTAATACTTGGTGAAGCCTACAGTCCGTTTGAGTCAGAAACGGACCGATGAATTACAAATTTTATCATTGTACAAAATTGCCACATAAATATAAATAGTACATATGTTTATCATTTACTAATACCCAACAGATTTCTTATATTTGAAAATTTTCGGACTCCACCAAAAAAGTTCTTTAAGAAACAAAGTTGTTATCTGTCAGCGGGCGGGGTGAAACCGCAGAAAGCGGAACAGCCAGTCATGGCGGGGACATCTCAAAATCTATTCCGGGAGACCAGTCGGTTCCTCGCCTGTCGAGTGTCATAGTCCGACTGAAAGGGATGACAAGTGGTGCCACAGTTGCCTGTTGTAAGCCATCCGGAGACCAGTAACCTTGTTCAATGACGTTAGCTACCTTGTTGACACAGTTTTGCCAAGTTTCAGTCGCGTGATTTTGTTAAGGATTCCTTAACCAAAACCTCTCCGCCACGTAATCTAAAAGTTGTGTTTGATCTGGCAACATCTCCTTTGACAATACCCCATATCATTTCAATGGGCTTAAGGTCACAGTGATAGGGTGGAAGTCGCAGAATATCGTGACCCTTACTTTTATGTAACTGTCAACTTTGTAGAAAGGTTCACCTTTGTGGGTTTTTATGATCTCATATAGCTGAGCTTCGTTGCCTTTGAAGGCCGTGGGATCTGAAATTTGTCGAGCCATGATATCATATCACCTTTTCGACTGTTAGATGTCGGGCTTTACTGTCGGGTCCTGCGCTGTTGTATGGGGCATTGTCCATTACGATAAAAGACTTCTCTGGTAGAGCTGGTACCAACTTGTTTTTAACCCAATCGAGGGAAAACCGCACCATTCATCTCGGAATGGTAGTCTCTGTTATCTGTGGACTTTGCCCTGAATACCAAGTCGCAGCCTGGGAGAAAGCCTTTGCTGGAGCAACCAGCATGGAGAATGATTAGTCTCTCTCCTTTCCCTAGAGGCAGCTTTAATCGTGACCCCTTATCACCCCATCGGGTACCCACTGACTGCTGGCAGTGTGCGCGAGGCATTGACCCAGGTCTCGTCCCAAGTACACTGGCTCGAACCCTTCCTCGCTTCTTCTTTATAACCCTGAGAAAATTATTTCTCAGCTTAACGATATCAGGCGTTCACAGAGTACTGACCTATTCTCCCCGAAATTTTCTTATAACGATACCCAAAAAGAGTGTAAGAGTAAGCCAGAGTGTGTACTTTGATACTCTGAGGTTGTGTTCTTGCTTCAAATGCTTTTTTAAAATTTTCAGCGACATGTATTTGTTTTCAGAATAGAGCTTGTTGATAGACTGCGTTACAAGGTTCTTTTGAAAGTTGTCCAAATGTTTTAATTTGTGTGATTTTGACACGACCCCTACCTGCTTTGCATCACCCTCACAATGTTTGTGTTCCAGAACATTTGTCAGTACCCTTGCTGATACACCTAAAGCTTTTGCTGCCCGCTCACGGAATTTATTAATGGCATAAAATGGTTTGCCCCTTTCGGCTTCAGCACGGAAAAAATCATACCCTTTAATCATCAACTGTTTCATGTCAGCATTCAACTTCATTTTTCATCAGGCATGTGTATCCCATGCATGAGGAGATAGTGGCTGTTCCGTTTCTGCAGTTACTCCCCCGCGACAGATAACAACTTTTATGCGTTTTTCAATGATGATAGTTTCTTAAAGAACTTTTTGGTGGAGTCCAGAAAATTTTCAAATATAAGAAAGTTGTTGAGTATTTGTAATGATAAACATGTAAACTATTTATATTTATGTGGCAATTTTGTACAATGATAAAATTTGCAATTCATCGGTCCGTTTCTGACCCCAAACAGACTGTAGATGTATATCCCCTACTTCTGTTAAAGATGGGTAATATTGGTTGAAGTCTAGATGTATATCCCCTGATTCTGTTAAAGATGGGTAATATTGGGTGAAGTCTAGATGTATATCCCCTGCTTCTGTTAAAGATGGGTAATATTGGGTGAAGCCAAGATGTGTATCCCCTGCGTCTGTTAAAGATGGGTAATATTGGGTGAAGCCAAGATGTGTATCCCCTGCTTCTGTTAAAGATGGGTAATATTGGGTGAAGTCTAGATGTATATCCCCTGCGTCTGTTTCAGATGGGTAATATCGGACAGGGCAACTATGCAGCATCCAAGGCAGGTGTTGTTGGACTAACAAAATCTGCTGCAAGAGAATTTGCAAGGTCTGAAACTGGTTGAATTTTATAGAATTGATTATTCATGAATCATGAATCATGACAAATTACACTCAAGTTCACTCATCACGTCAAAGACTTCGGTTCGATGCCCCACATGGGCACAATGTGTGAAGCCCATATCTGGTGTCCCCGCTGTGATATTGCTGGAATATTGCCAAAAGCGACATAAAACTGATACTGAATAGTACTTGACACTGATACTTGAACATAATCCTGTTTTATCTGAATGCATCTTGATTAGGTTACACATGTAATCATGGTTTGAACAGGTTCAACATTCGAGTGAATGCTGTCCTCCCTGGCTTCATCAATACTCCCATGACGGCAGCAGTCCCAGAACACCTGCTGCAGAGGGCCATGTTCCTAGTTCCCATGATGAAGATGGGGAAGTCAGAGGGTGTGTTTAGATTGTGTTGTGTGTCAGTCAGCAGGGTTTCATCCACATCACATAATCATGGAAATAATATAATTATCCAGAGCCGCGATTTAGCTGGAATATTGTGTTAAACAACAACCAATGGTAAGTGGTTGATACCATGACCACCTATTCATGCCACTGATTCCATGCAGTCAGCCAGGGCATACATCACAGTAGTCGCATCTTGTGACCAGGGTTTGCACAGCCTTGAATTTCGAGGTCTGTCTTGATAGTCTTCAATTCCAAGGTCTGTCTTGACAAGGCCTTCAATTCCGAAGTCTGACTTGACAATGCCTTCAATTCCAAGGTTTGTCTTGACAAGGCGTTCAATTCCAAAATCTGTCTTGACAAGGCCTTCAATTCCTAGGCCTGTCTTGACAAGGCCTTCAATTCTCAGGTTTGTCTTGACAAGGCCTTCAATTCCCAGGGTTTGTCTTGACAAGGCCTTCAATTCCAAGGTTTGTCTGGACAAGGCCTTCAACTCCCAAGCCTGTCTGGACAAGGCCTTCAATTCCCAGGCCTGTCTTGACAAGGCCTTCAATTCCCAGGTTTGTCTTGACAAGGCCTTCAATTCCCCGGTCTGTCTTGACAAGGCCTTCAATTCCCAGGTTTGTCTTGACAAAGCCTTCAATTCCCAAGCCTGTCTGGACAAGGCCTTCAATTCCCAAGCCTGTCTGCACAAGGCCTTCAATTCCCAGGTCTGTCTTGACAAGGCCTTCAATTATTATTCAGCTAGAAGGATATGGTGCTCTGAACCTGGTTGTCATTCTTTCACCATCAAATCAGGCCATGGATAGCCAGATTCTATGACAAGTAATGAGAATGGTTTTGCAAGCAATGAAGAAAATTGCTGACATTTTGTGTTGTTACAGACGTAGCTGACGCTTGTGTGTTCCTGGCCAGTGACAGAAGCAAGTACATCACAGGGACAAGTCTGGAGGTCGCAGGTACGTTGTCCTTTAGGCACACTTCACCTGCACTAATTTAAGAACTATTAACCTTTCACAGATCTTTTGTTAATATTCATGTTTTTGGTGAAATTATGCCTCTGTTTATCCAGCAGTGAATGGGTACCCGGTAGGATGAGGTTTTAATGTGACCCTAAACCTTCTAGTGTCTTACAGGCAGTTTGGTTGTCTATTCCCCAAGGAGCTGAGAAAGAATCATGTACACGCTCATCCATTGTCGGGGTAATGACAGTGTCAGAATTGTCAGGGTAATGACAGTGTCAGCATTGTCGGGGTAATGACAGTGTCAGCATTGTCGGGGTAATGACAGTGTCAGCATTGTCGGGGTAATGACAGTGTCAGCATTGTCGGGGTAATGACAGCGTCAGCATTGTCGGGGTAATGACAGCATCAGCATTGTCGGGGTAATGACAGCGTGAGCATTGTCGGGGTAATGACAGTGTCAGCATTGTCAGGGTAATGACAGTGTCAGCATTGTCGGGGTAATGACAGTGTCAGCACTTCAAACTTGGACTGTAGCACATTACAAATCTAACCTTTGTATGACCAAGTAACGAGTCTCCTCAGGAAGCTTCAGTGTTGCTCAGGATCGGGTGGTCAGGCTCACTGACTTGGTTGACACATGTCATCAGTTCCCAATTGCGCAGATCGATGCTCATGCTGTTGATCACTGGATTGTCTGGTCCAGACTCAATTATTTACAGACTGCCGCCATATAGCTGGAATATTGCTGAGTGTGGCCTAAAACTAAACTCACTCACTCAGAGTGTTGCTGATAATCTATTTGTGTTGCTACATTTCATTTGTAGCTCTAGCAAGCTACTGTCATCCACAATGGAGAGCCCATCTGTCTAAGTGCAGTGCAGAGTGGCATACCTTTGTCATGCCAGAAACCTCTTATGGGTTTGAATCCCAAATTTGTCCTGGTCATGTTTCAAGGTTTGTCTGCACCAAACTTATGTTTCCTGGTAAATATCTAGAGCCTGCATGACTTCGAGTTTGGCGCCCATGCTGTGTGACATAACTGAAATGCTATTCAAAACATTGTTGACAATCTTATTCTCTGTTGCAGGCGGCCTTGGCATATAAACGATGAGGAGCCAGCCCTGTCCTATTCTGTGATACGGAGAGTTCCTTCCATAGCTTATATAGTTTTGATTGACTAAATAACAGCTTTTCTATGATGCCAACCGCTCAGTATACCTGCAGTGATTTCACAGCAGGTTCCATGTGATCAGTGTCCATTTGGAATAGGGGATGTTCTATTCACATCTGGGGCGGTGAGGTAGCCTAGTGGTTAAAGCGTTTGCTCGTCACGCTGAAGACCCGGGTTTGATTCCCCACATGGGTAAATTACATTGTGTGAAGCCCATTTCTGGTGTCCCCCGCCATGATATTGCTGGAATATTGCTGAAATAAAACTGTCGTCAAATTGATAAGTCAAGGTTTATGTGGTCACCACAAATAAGTTTCAAAACAAATTATTTTTATGTATGGTAAAAAATAGGGTGGCGTGTTTACTGTATCTATGCAGATCTGTTTTGGGAGGCAATTGTTTCATGAATACAGCTTTTTTAATTTGCTCAATATTCAAGACCCACCAGCCTTTGTCTTTGATTTGTATGTCTCCTACTTTCATATTTGTACGTGCATGTATGCGATGTATGTTTGTCTCCTGTGTTGCTGTGCCACAATGCAGTCTTGATGCTATAAACTAAACTGTAAGCCACAAAGCTGTCTCGATACCACAAAGCAAATTTGATGCCACAAAGCAGTCTTCTTGCCACAAAGCAAATTCAATGCCACAAAGCAAATTCAATGCCACAAAGCAAATCAATGCCAAAAAGCAAATTTGATGCCAAAAAGAACATATGATGCCACAGAGACGTCTTGATGCCAAACAGCAAATTTAATGAATCTTTTATTATGAAGTCAAATTGTAGGTTATTAATATTTATAAGTCTCTACTGCATTTTATCAATGTTATTTTTCACTATATTTTTATAGATTGTTTTTGTTGATAATCACATGAATATAATACACAATTCATAAAAAGAGCATTGATGAATTCAGGTTTTGCTTTCACAGCTTAAAGAATAAGGGCAATCTGACTGCATTTTGGAACTGTGATGTATAATCATGACAACTGTCTTTACCGTTTACTGGTACATGATTGTTTTGCATTGAACAATTTGTATTATTTATGAATGAATTGTTATGTATGATGCAACGATAACAAAATGGCTGACAACAGTTTTGAAGGGATTGTCTAGTCTGACTATCTGACTCAGCTGATTGTGTCATGGTTCCCATGATATCAACCACTTGTTTGACTGGTCCAGAGCTGGTTATTTACAGCTGTGATGGAGCTGGAATATTGCAGAATGCTCACTGACTTCACTCACTTTAACCTCCTCTTTTCTATAATCATCTGTTCACTTAAAAAAAATTTGATTTGAATTTTCAAAGTTGACATTATTTTGATTTAAATCTATCGAGGTTATGAAATACCTACCTGGCATTATTAACATTCTGACAATCATATTGCATCTATCCAACGTGATGTTTTGAAGCTTTTCACAATCACTGGAGCTATGTGAAGAAAAGCATTGATTTATTGGCTGGATATCATAAAATAGAGGCAGTTATGGGAATGACTGCTACTAGCAGATTGGTTAGAGGAAGAACCCATTACTCCCACATAGTTTAGAGGAAGAACCATTACTAGAAGATTAGTTAGAGGAAGAACAGTTACTAGTACATAGGTTAGAGGAAGAACAGTTACTAGTACATAGGTTAGAGGAAGAACCATTACTAGAAGATTGGTTAGAGGAAGAACAGTTACTAGTACATATAGAGGGAAAAACAACACTGATACATTTCTGGTGACCCCCTGCCGTGATATTGCTGAAATATTTCAAAAGCGGCATAGACAAAACTGAACTCACTCACTTCTGAAAACTTTATGAACATCAGAGACCCCTGTAAAAGTTATCGACTTGTCTGTAATGTTTTTCTGTATTGAACAGTCGAGCAAGGAAGACATCTTTATGACAACATCAGCATCCTTGCCTTCAGTTCTTTGCTCATCCAAACATGCTCACTGACTTTAACCTCCTCTTTTCTACAATCATCTGTTCACTTACGATATTTTCAATTTGATTTTACAAAGCTGACACTCTTTTAATTTAAATCTATCCAGCAGGGCTCCAGATAAGGTCCGTATCGGCGTATGTACGGATGAAAAATACGCACGATACGGTTGGAAATAATTTAGAAAATGTAACAGATACGCACCACAACAATGGTGTACGGTCTTAGAATCACTTACAGACGTATATATCTGAAAAAGTATTGTTTTATTGTTTACTGACCTGTTAACAGAATAGTAGCAATGTTGTGGTGCATATATGAAACGAAACACAAGATTACTGATACTCCATTAAATTCCATTCAGTACTCTAAATGTACACTTAAGGTTTTCCAGTACTCCTATGTTGAAACAATAAGGAGTATGTACTCCTGATCATGAAAAATTATCTGGAGCCCTGTATCCAGCCAATGAAAACCCTACCTGGCATTATTACCATTCTGACAATCATATTGCATCTTTCTGACGTGATGTTTTGAAGCTTTTCACAATCACTGGATCTATGTTACCCTCAAGAAAAGCTTAGTTTGACTGGCTGGAAATATTAGAATATGCTCAACAATCGCTGGGGATAGTAACCTTTATCGAGTTATTATAACCACACATTAGAGGTAATATTTTCATCAAGTTTCGCTCTGTATATTTGTAACTGAAAAACTGATGTTATATTGAAGAGTAATCAAAGTGTGGTCTTTGAGGAATGTGTAGATTCTCTTCTGAAGAAGATTAGCTTAAAATATGAGAGAACCCTGCAAAAGGTTTTACCTTGGCGATGTTCGTTCTGCTTTATCTGTCTTGAAATGAAGAGTTGATGACAATATACCATTTGAAACTGTATCTAGGTCGAGTTCTTGTCATCATTCAGTTTTTATTTTCGTCACGATTTAGCTGAACATGTGTAACTGAATTTTTTATTTGATTATATATCAAAGAGTAATCAAGAGGAACACTGTATCATTAGTCCGATTAGGTCCCCTGTATCCCTGTAACCACAAGAGATGACACCGTGACGGTGATTGTTAATCCGGAACTAATTGTACCGGTATATCTTAAACTTGAAATGTTTAAAATTTGAAGAGTTAGATAAGTGTTAACTTTATGTATTCACCAGACAAGTGCATTACCTTTTCTTTTTCTTTCTTTTTCGGTCCGATCATGTAACATTTTAGGGAGAGTTTTCATGTAATATACACGATTTTTTAGTCATCTTTTCGAGACATACAAACTTTTTCTCTGAAAGAATACAAAGAATATGGACTCAAACACAGTATTTTTCAGAACATCAGTTTTCTAGGGTGAATAATGAAACAAAATATTTTTCCCAGCATTTTTTAAAACGGATATCAATAGACAGCTCCTTTAGCATGCTAAATGTATTGATGACCTTGACCGAAAAGTGATCAAAGCTTTGCCATGACGCTGCCGGAATGTTAGCAATGGGAATATTGAGCTCACTAATATATGGAGTGTGTGCAATTATAGCAGGCTGAAGTATTCAAATATGTTTGTAAATATGTTGGATAATTCAAATATTTTCTTTTTGTACTGGACTTACTGGTAATAAACTGTTGAAATAATCATTGTCTGTCGTTGTGGTAATAGTTAGACATTTTAAGGGGGTGGCTTTATGACTGCTTGGAACAGTATTTGAGTCGGTTCCAGTGAGTCCGCTTAATATACTAACCACATAAAGAAACTGTGCACTCAGAAAATGCCTTCAGAATTGGAATACAGCACTGCAAAGACGAAATGATGTAGACACTTTATAAGCTGAAGTATCGGACCACAAGAAAATGTCAAAAGAACATGAACAATATCCGTAACGATGACATAAGAAGTTCAAAATCGAGTTGGGGGTCACACGACGAAGTCACAAAATCAATAACGGGTATGACCACCGTGTGCGTGAAGCACAGCAGTGCATCGAAGACGCATAGAGGCTACCAAATGAACATTGAAGGCCTGGGGAATGGTCTGGGGCGTGGTCACTGCTGTCTGGAACCTGTATCTGAGATGAGTCACCCGAATCCATCTGTCCTGTCTTGGCGTCGTTAAGTCGGGAATGCCCAGAACGTGGGTGGTCGGCGACGTCATTACTGTTTCGATAACGCCTGACCCATGCAGATATCGTGTTACGATGGCATTGGAAATGTGCTGCCACCTGTTGTTGGCTCATTCCTGCTCGAACCATTCCAATGGCTTCATGACGTTGAGTAGATGTTAATCTTGGCATGGTGTGCTAGTGACTTCTCATGTGGATTTGTGAACGTATGAATGACCAAAGATCAAGCTTTCGACAGTGACAGCAATTTCAGAGTTTCACATGTTGTGTGCAGCTGTACGGGCTGCACGTGCAGTAACATATTGCAAGGCCTTAGGCCACCGTCAATGACGTCACGCCGCCTGGCACGTGCATGAGCGTTTGATTGTCTCCAATACTTGCTATGTTCACAAATGTATAAATACGCTGTGTGCCTATATTTATATTTTCTGTGTGCACAGTTTCTTTATGTGGCCAGTATATGTGAAGAAATCCAGTTTAATGATATGATGGTGTTGGATGTTTACTACTTTGGGGAAACCCACGAGGACAGGTATGATGCTGGCCAGTGTATGAAATAGCCACTTGCCCGCTAGCCCGTGGCCAGTAAATCTCCACTGTCACTGGCCCGACTGGCTAGTGAATTTTCATGGGGTCATTTTATAAATATATCACTCTCTCTGACTTGTTAAGTTATAATACACTTTTAAATCATGAAAGATTATGGCCTGATAAAAATGTTCATCATATTAGCAGTTTAATGATGAAACCTGTGTCTACATTCAATTTTGGGATAGTGAATTATGTTGTGGGCTAGTAACTTTCAGGCATAGCTAGCCTGACTGGCTCTTAAAATTTGGAAACTATTTAGCACACTGATGCTGACAAACCTCGGGATGATCTGAAATACCTATGTGACATACTCATGTGTACTAGGTCTTTTTTCATTATGGGTAGTGGGGTAGCCTAGCGGTTAAAGCGTTTGCTTGTCACTTCGAAGACTTGAGTTCATTTGCCCACATGGGTACAATGTGTGAAGCCCATTTCTGGTGTCCCCCGCAATGATATCGCTGGAATATTGCTAAGAGCGGCATTAAACCAAACTCATTCACCTACTTTTTTAAAAAGTTGCACCAAAGCTTTTTTCACCATCCTGCTAATCTTCGTAGTTGATGCCGCCAGTGTAAATGTATCGCACATCACTTTACAGAGTCAGAGCATTCAAAGATTCACAAGAAACTTAATCAACATTTTAAAACAGGCTTTCACAAACACATTGCATGCTTATGTTTATTTATTACTTACATAAACATACATGACAAACCTACTCCATTTCAGGGTTGATCAAAATAGAAAATACTGATATTTTCTTTAGACATTACTGTTCCACCATCCACCACTATGCTTCCATCACTGTTTCTATGGTGGGAAATATACCAAATATCCTGTATGATAACTAACAAACCTGAAAGTCATCAAAGAATATGGAATGGATTTCTGTGGCAGTTCACGGTTTGACTGGCTGTCCGAGTAAGGTCTGGTTATTGATGATCATAGAGATCATTAATTGGCAACTAAATAAATATTCTAGAAGTAATTATGAGCCAAACTAAAAGTAATGTCTTTTAAAAAATCCCATATATGACATAAATGGTGAGTGGTGACACTTTTGTGAATGGATTTCTAACAAAAAGAACAGAACATTAGAGCAGTAGCCCATGAATGAACAAGTAACTTTGGGTAGTGTGTGTGTAAATTAAAATGTTTTTAATCACAATAGTTTAAGATATTATCGATGACACAATTTTTGATAATCCTTAATAATTCTTCCAACCCACGATAATTTCAATTACATTGAAACCTGTCTAATCCGGCACACTGTCAAAACCAGCATACAATTTTGGTCCCGCCATTTTACAACAATATTATGACCAGTAAAACATTGTCTAATCCAGCACCTGTCTATTCAGTATTCCGGCACGACTTTCCGGTCCCAACAAGCAATTTTAGCTGTAAGTAACACTGTCTAAACCGGCATGGGTATGAGCAGTCCCAGCAAGGACCCATAATCCAATACACTAATTAATCCTCTTGGCATGCTAGATAATCAGGAAGTAGGTATAGCGCTGTAAATTAAACGCTCTAAGCCGGCATGGGTGTCAGCAGTCCAATCAAGGTCCCTTAATCCAATACCTTCTCATCACGCTCTGCATTATAGAAACAAAGAAATTGACGAGTGTAAATGGCAGCCATGTTGAGAAATGATCGTCACTGTCTAATCCGGCACTTTATTTCGGTCCCGTGGAGTGTCGGTTTAGACAGGTTTCATTGTATCTATCTTTGTAGCCATCCCTTGTCCAAGGCCAAGGACAAATAATGAAATAGACGACATGCATCCTTTCATATTTATTTGCTCTTCTATGGGTCTCTTTGTTACAACAACCAGTTCAGTATATATTTACATATATTTCCTCTTTCACAAGTCGAATATTTGCCCGAATAATGTCACTGTAGCTTTCACTTCCTCTTCTTCCTCTTTATTTTCGTAGTCCGGATGCCCTTATATGGCCCAAGCCCTTTTGCCTTGAGCTCTTGAACCTCAGCATATTTCCTTTTATTAAATCTGGAAAGAAACACATTAAAAATAAACAAACAAGAAGACAAAGTCATCAATATCCCCCGCAATGGCAAAATACTCTTCATGATTATATATACGAGTTATGATTATGTCAAATATTTAGGTGTGTATATAGAAAAGTGGAAGGAGAGTATTGAAAGGTTTTTAAAGTTCTGCTCCAGAAAAGAGCACTATCACCAATTTCATTCTAAGTCAAACTTATTGCCATGGAAATGCCAAAAATGTTTTATTCAGAAATTGAAAACTACCAAAAGGCACCAGTACACCACCAGATCTATCGATGTGCCAACTTTGGTGAAGAAATAGTGAACGGTTTTAGAGTTCAGTTCCGGAAAAGTGTACTACCACCAATTTCAGGCTAAGTCAAAACTTGTTGCCACGGAAACGCCAAAATGTTTTATTCAGAATTCCAAAACTACCAAAAGGCACCAGTACACCACCAGATCTATCTATGCGCCAAGTTTGGTGAAGAAATAGTGAACGGTTTTAGAGTTCTGCTCTCGAAAAGACAAATGTGCACGGACAGACAGACGGACGGAGTCCATTTTAATACCCCCCGCAAAACGTGTTGCGGGGGATAAAAAGAAGCCATAATCAGTTTTGCAACATAATCAATATATTTATGACAATTTCCTTAGTAATATATCCGTAAAGCATGTATTTATATATCTGGGTGAAGCCTATTTCTGGTGTCCCCCTGCCGTGATGTTGGTGGAATATTGCTATAAGCGGTGTAAAACAAAACTCAGTCAGTTTATATATCTGGGCTCCATGTACTACTCAGCCTGTACAATATCGTGTGTGAGGGTTCGACCAATTAGTACTTTACAGGAGGGGGGAAGTTTGAGGGACCTGTGACTTTCATCAGAAAATAACTTTTCTGCTGCATAACAAGCAATACAAGAGGTGAGTCTGGTTTTACGCTGTTTTAAGAAACATTCCAATATCACGGCAGGAGACACCAGAAATTGGCTTCACACATTGTACCCATGTGGGGAATCAAACCCGTCTTCCAGCATGATGAGCAGACGCTTTAACCATTAGGCTACCCCACTGCCCCACAAGTAGTATGTCTGTGATGGAGACTTAAGAGACTTAAACCAGTTCCAGTCATTGTTCTAAAGGAAAGTCGGCTGGTCTCACTTTCTGAACTCGGCATCCGCCATCAGCTCCTCAACAATGGACGTCTTCTGCTGCTTCTTCGTGATGCGAGAGCTGTAGAACTCACTTGGATCCTCAACCACGGTGCCAAACTGGAATACAAGAAAATAGGGGTACAGTCAGTCATTGTTTCTGGAACTGTGTTGCTTTGAACACACACATTAGTAATGTTCACAATCTGCTCAGTTCATTTGTTAACGCACTCAGCATTCTTTAAATATTAGTGTGGACCAGACAATCCAGTGATTGGCATCACAAGTATTGATCTGCATATTTGAGATATGATGACATGTATCAACCAACTTCAGCACCTGGAAATACTTGGGCAATCCCTTGATGTCATCTCCTTTGTAAAACCTCTTGGGGTCAAGGGCTCGCCTCATTTTCAGGGCAATGAGGTCATTCTTCTTCTCTTCTGTCAGCTCACCTATCGGCATGTTGTACCATCCTCGCCCCTTGGTCTGTTCTCGTGCTTTCTGAAAATATGATTAACACTGTTTGTTTTCTTCTTGTATGATGTTTAACATCACACACACCAGCTCCCAGTTATATACTAGCCACATAAAGAAACTGTGCACACAGAAAATGCCTTCATAATTGGAATACAACACAGCAAAGATGAAATGATGTAGACACCTTATAAGCTGACCACAAGAAAATGTCAAAAGAACATGAACAATATCCGTAACGATGACATAAGAAGTTCAAAATCGAGTGGGGGTCACACCATCGAAGTCACGAAGTCAATAACTGGTATGACCACTGTGTGCGTGAAGCACAGCAGTGCATCGAAGACGCATAGAGGCTACCAAATGAACATTGAAGGCCTGGGGAATGATCTGGGGCGTGGTCACTGCTGTCTGGAACCTGTATTTGAGATGAGTCACCCGAATCCATCTGTCCTGTCTTGGCGTCGTTACGTCGGGAACGCCCAGAACGTCGGTGGTCGGCGACGTCCGTTTCAATAACGCCTGACCCATGCAGATATCGTGTTACGATGGCATTGGAAATGTGCTGCCACCTGTTGTTGGCTCCTTCCTGCTTGAACGTATGAATGACCAAAGATCAAGCTTTCGACAGTGACAGCAATTTCAGAGTTTCACATGTTGTGTGCAGCTGTACGGGCTGCACGTGCAGTAACATATTGCAAGGCCTTAGGCCACCGTCAATGACGTCACGTCGCCTGGCACGTGCATGAGTGTTTGATGTCTCCAATACTTGCTATGTTCACAAATGTATTTATGTATAAATACGCTGTGTGCTTATATTTATATTTTCTGGGTGCAGTTTCTTTATGTGGCCAGTATATGACAATAAATCAAGTGGTATATATACTGTTTTGGTATAATTTAACACTATATACCATTAATATAATCTTTGTATTACAAGTTGATTTGAATTTATACATAATAAACTGACAACAAAATAAACTTGTAAGCAAAGTTTTTTTTCGGCAACTACTATAATATGATGTCTTTCAGTGGCATTTAGAAGTTGTACAGTGATGTCCAAGATATTTTATGGATTAAACTTCTTTTTTTTTTTTTTTTTTTAATTTCTCTCACGTAGGGGTGTGAGAGAAATTAAAAAGAAGTTTAATCCATAAAATATCTTGGACATTACTATAATATGGTATTGTAATTGAGTGATGGTCGAACCTTTCTTTCTTTCTGCTTTCTTCTAAATCCTTCCTCATGGGAAGGAATGCTTTCTTTCTTTTCAAAGTCTGGTGTGATCACACTCTTGGCCATTATCTGAAACCATACAACCATCATCATGATTCTGACAAAGTGATAAGCATGATAAATCACTAATGTTACCATCAGTAATATATAATATTTCGAGCATGTTGAAGAAACATGTTGCCTGTAGTATCCTGTAGTATCTAATAGAAATAAGAATACTGATCAGCATGAAATACTTTGTGCTTTGTTTGGCCAAGCAGACAACCTATTAGCAAAAACATTAAATGAAAGCTAAAAGATTTACATATACAGGTGTGACCCAGTATCTTCCAATATTTACACCATCATTTATAACCTATAAACCTCAAAATAGATACCTAAGAATATGATCTGCATAACATGTTCATTATGATACCAACCTCTTGAAGTTCTTTACTAACACGTTCAGTTGGAGCTTTGTATTTTGGTTGCGGAGCATGAACGGAGTGAAAGTTTATATAAATATCTGAAGGGTCCGACTTGACTTGCAAAGAAGATGATAGTTCCATGCTGCAATAGAGACAAAATACGTTGGTTGGTTGGTTGTTGATTAACGCCACACTCAGAATTATTCCAGCTATATGGCGATGGGCTGTAATTGTAAATAATCAAGTCTGGACCAGACAATCCAGTGATCAACCGCATGATCTACACAATTGGGATACGATGTGTCAACCGGGCCATTTATTTAAAAGTGATAATCATGACGGTACTATTCTTTGCATATGTCATTTTATTAACTATGTGAATGCAAGTTAGTGAGAAAGCTAATGCTGTTTTGATCTGTTGTCAACAATCACTGGGGTAGGGGGGTTGAGGTTTTGCACACCCCTACGTAATATTGTAATCTCCTGCATGATAGGCCAATACATGGAACTTTATTTTTTTACTCCACCCCATCCTCAATGCCAAATGAATAAATGACCAGTTCCTAAACAATGTTTAAATGTGCCATTTTTCAAATGCTGTACCAGACCCACCCTTTCACAACATAATTTTTCCATAAAACCACTCCACCACAACAAAACATCATTTAAATTCCTTAAAACAAGATGATACCAGGAATGTTTTTCTTATTATCTGACCTGCGGCTTTTGTCGAGTTTTCTTCTGTCATATTTATTTTTATGTTTTGTACTTTTTCTTTTCTCCCTGTGTAGACTTTCGCCATCTTCACTGCAATCTTCTATAATGGTTCTCGAACCAGACGTACTGGCATCCTCAGCAGATGGCGTTTTATCTATAACGAAAAAAGACGACACTTCATCGCTCCCTTCCCCTAATTCAGAATTGTCACTGCGATTATGTGAGTCAGTATTTAAAACACTGGATTCCTTGACTTCAGATGTACTCGGGTGTTTCCGTATGGGTGTCTTGTCTATAACGAAAGGAACTTGATCATTCGAATCGGATTCTGAGTCCGAATTACTTCCATCAGTTTGATCTATGTCTCCTTTATTTGTTATCTTTTCTGGAGACAGTGACACGCTTGTTTTGCTCCAAGCTGATTCAAATATTTCATCCAGTTCGCTATCTGATGTAAGTTCATCAGACGAGGAGCTAGCCATGGTACCGCGGTCAACACATCAACTTTACATACACAAAACACACGTGTTGACAGCTTCCATGAGCCGAAGAGCACTTCCGCCCCCTTTCCGGAAGTGCACAATGTCCTAATATAGTACGTTATACATTCAAGCTAAAGAGTAAAGAATATAAATATCGATTACAAGACCGCGACACATGATTACATGTGTATGCTAAATATCTGTCAGCACATAAAAAAATATATTAAAATAAACTCAATTACGTTTTATCGTAATATCACTGCGTAGAAATATGTTAGGCAAGTTTCCTTGCAGGGTCAAACGACTTAACGATGCAGGGAGTATTCAGATGCTATAAGTGAACGATTATACAGTATGATGTGGTGGTGGTGGAATTGAGTTTAACGTCGTGCTTGAGAATATTTCGCTCATATGACGACGTGCATGCGTATGTGTATGTGCGGCTGCTTGTACTAGCCCAGACTTAAGCTGGTTTTATAGTGCTAGCCCACTGTGATACCATGCCGCAGTGAAGCATGAATACCCCACTCAGACACATTATACTGACTCCGAGTCGACCAGTCTTTGATGTACCCATTAATGCCGAGCGCCAGGCAGGGACCAACAAGTACCACATTTTAACGTCTTTTGGTATGACGCAGTCGGGGATCGAACCCGCGACCTTCCGCACTCCGGGCGGACGCTCTAACCACTACACCACGGAGGCGGTCATACAGTATGAAAGCGGTAGTGGCCATTCCTCGTGCTGCGTCACAAGCATGCCATTCTCCACCTCAAAGCCACATTTCTGTGATTGGGTTAAAAGTTAAATTATTTGACTAAAAAGACACGACGTTTTCATAATAAAATCCATAAAGACTAAAAGATAAAAAAAAAATCGGAATTAGCTTGGTCACTTTAAAAATATATTCTCCCGCCCAAATGACATGGAGACACAGATTATATCTTTTGTTGACTTTTCCTTTCATAAAGGTTCACCAGCATACTTAAACGACATTCGACCAATATTCACCCGCCTTAACTGGAAAAATGTCATGACTATCAGCGCAACCGCCTCGAACGTCTGTTTCATACAGAGGCGTGCCCAGGATAGAAATGAAGTGTAGGTACACCTGGACGTACGAGTCTGTAGATCTGTAGACTAGTGCTAGTTATAACGGCTGAAGCCAACTGTTGCATGCAATGTTGTGAATACATATTGAAAGCTAGAATGCTAGCTTCTGATTACTTTATATATATAAACATAATTTGAACAAGTGACAATCTTGCCAGGAAAGCTTTCTTTTCCTGATCAGCCAAACCATTTCCATATAATTGACCGGATCTAAATATGCTGGTGCATCGGACTCTGTAACGGACACTTTCTTTTCCTCTGTTTGAGGAGCAAGCTCATTAGTATCATCTTTCACGGACGACATCTTAAAATACTCCAGAAGCTCCAGCCATTACAGTTTACAGTTTCCGAAGTACAATCGAGCGTGCGAAGATGCCAAAGAGCGACTTACCACTCGACCCGTGAAGATCCCGGTTAGAACTGGCCTTCAGCAACCCATGCTTGTCGTTAAAGGCGACTACCGGGATTGGGTGGTCAGTCTCGCTGACTTGGTTGACACATGTCAGTGCGTAGATCGATGCTCATGCTGTTGACCTCTGGATTGTATTATCCAGATTCGATTATTTACAGCCCGTCGCCATATAACTGGAATATTGCTAAGTGCGGCGTTAAACAACAACTAAACCAACGCCATACGTTGTTTGATGGTAACAACATTCCAGGTCAAACCAAAACATGAGTCTCATTAACTAATTCAGACAATGACCTACTTTTCAGCCGATCCGAATTTTCTCATGTGAAAGTGAAAAGAGACAACACAAACAACTATGGTTACACTGAATTTCAATTCCTTGTTTCATAAGAAAATGGTATTTACAAGTTAATTTTATTTTGAAACTTTAATAACTTCGTACTTCTATATTTTATGGCGAGGTGTAGGCAGCATGACCTTAACTAAGACGTCACAGGCTGCCCCTGTTTGATGAGGTCGTGAAATGATTCACAAATCATCTGGCTCACTGGTTACACCTGATATGTGTTCACTGCGCTTATTCAGTGTAGTGTTGTAACGCACAATGTGATTGATATAATATCAAGTCTGTACCAGACCGCCAAACTTTTCTAGCGGCAGAGCCTCGTTTTGAGATTTCCACGATTTCCAGATTTCCGTTTGTCAGAGCACGCTGTACGACAGAGCACGCTGCACGACGTGTTTGCAAGGATTAGAAGGCGCGTAGTGTTGCAATATACAGGTGCTTAGATGTATCAAATAATTCTGATTAATATTTATGTATCAAGTTGAATGAATCGGTCTCAAAATTCTGGACTGGTTATTGTACTAAGTTGCGCAACAGGACAGAACCCAGTCAGCAGGAAGCGAGACTGTTGTGTAATCAATGTTTTGACTTGCTCCGCACAGCTATCAAAATGTTTCACGCGGAGGGCATTTCCAGTAACAAAATGATGTCCGATGCAATTCCCTTTTCGACTTGTACCCCATTAGTGCATGTGTGTTTTTCGGCAAAAAGAACCTAACTTGTCCTATCGGAAGGGTCACAAGAGTATAGTTCCGTCAACTGCTGCAACAGAGTCATTACATATGGATAATAATAAAATACACACTTTATTCAAGATTTTTACGGTTCTCTAAGTACAACAAATTCATATAGTAAAATTATGCAGACGGACCGGGCTTGCAAAGATAAAACACCAAAGCCAAATTCTATCCAGTATGAAATCGCTTTATTATTTTTGAATTCCCACGTGTAACCATTTATACACGACCTATCATTACTTATTTGCAGCCAGGTTGCGCGTCCTACCGGTTTCAAATTAACTGTTTCACAACCATATTCACCCCGAAAACAGGAAGACAGCAAAACATTGAACAAACTTGAAAATATTCATAAACAAGAAAACATTGTGTCCAGGGACACGGATGCCCCGCTGACATTCATAAGACATATAAAGATCAATAATTGAACAAAATTCACGAACAAGTTCAATAAACATCTATGCAACTATGAGATGCACACCTTTCGAGTCCCAATGAAACACATGTATAAGCTAACTCAATTCTGTTGAGCAGTTTTTGTGGAGAAGTGGAAGACTTCTTATTTCACTATCATCAGAGAGAAATTCAACAAAATTGATCTAAGTTCAAATGACTCTAAACATACACAAAACTATAAAATACAAAAACAAAACAACATGAGATGCACACCTTTAGAGTCTCTATAAAAGACACATGTAAGCTAAATGAGTTTTGTGTAATGGTTTTTGAGGAGAAGTGGATAAAGTACACCCCCTGTTGTATGAGACGAACAGGATGAATAGAACCAAACTCAACTAAGTTCAAACATCTGTAGAAGTGACAAAATTAAGAAACTGGAGGAACAAGGTATGAGATGCACACCTTTAGAGTTCCAATGAAACACACGTAGAAGCTCAATCAATTCTGTTGAGCAGCTTTTGTGGAGAAGTGGATAGACTTCATCCCCTACAACACTAAATTCAGAGAGAAATTCAACAAAATTTATGTAAGTTCAAACGGCATTAAAATTGGAAAAATAAATAAAATACAAAATCAAAATATGAGATGCACACCTTTAGAGTCCCTATAAAGCACATGTGTAATGGAAATGAATTCCATAAAGTAGTTTTTGAGGAGAAGTGGATAACGTACACCCCCTGTTGGATGGAACGAACACTGGCTGAATAGAACAAAATTCAACTAAGTTCAAACATCTGTAAAAGTGACAAAATAAAGAAATTGCATAAAAAATTATGAAATGCACACCTTTAGAGTCCCTACAAAAGACATGTAGAAGTTAAAGAGCATGTGGAGAAGTGGATTGACTTCACCCCTATTACACTATCATCATAGAGAAATTCAGCAAAATGTACCTAAGTTCAAATGTGTGAGATGCACACCATTAGAGTCCCAAGAAAGCCCATGTATACGTTCATTGAATTCCACAGAGCGGTTATGGTGGAAAAGTGGGAATACATTCCCTGTTTTGACGGACGGACGGACACCCCCTATATGCCCCCAGCCATATATGGCGGGGCATAAAAACAACACTGTAGATTTTTGTTTTCAACCAACAATGGTACCTGACATCACCACCTTCAACACCTGACAACGTCTCCATCAACACCTGACACCACCTCCATCAACACCTGACTGACACATCACCTCCATCAACACCTGACATCACCTCCATCACCACACCTGACACCACCTCCACCTGACCACCTCCACCTCCACGTCCATCAACACCTCCATCAACACCTGACATCAACACCTGACACCACCTCCACCCACCTGACATCACCTGACACCCATCATCAACACCTGACACCACCTCCACCAACACCTGACATCACCTCCATCAACACCTGACACCACATCAACTGACACCACCTCCATCAACACCTGACACCACCACCATCAACACCTGACACCATCCCCATCAACACCTGACACCACCTCCACTTGACATCACCCCCATCAACACCTGACATCACCTCCACCAACACCTGACATCCATCAACACCTGACACCTGACATCACCTCCATCAACACCTGACACCACCTCCACCAACACCTGACATCACCTCCATCAACACCTGACATCAACTACATTAACACCTGACACCACCTCACCGCCATCAACACCTGACATCATCTCCACCTGACATCACCTCCATCAACACCTGACACCACCTCCACCAACACCTGACATCACCTCCATCAACACCTAACATCACCTCCATCAACACCTGACACCACCTCCACCATCAACACCTGACACCACCTCCACCAAGACCTGACATCACTTCCACCAACACCTGACATCACCTCCATCAACACCTGACATCACCTCCACTTGACAACACCTCCATCAACACCTGACATGAACTCAATGAACACCTGACATCACTTCCATGAACACCTGACATCACATTCATCAACACCTGACATCACTTCCGCCTCCTTCAACACCTGACATCACCTCCATCAACA